TGGTAGGAGATCCAAAATTGGCGATTTATTAAAATATAGCATAGCCAAAACAAGGCCAACCAGCATATCAATATAGAGTTAAAATAATACCTTGGCGATCACGAGTCGCCAACAAATTTATGTGAATTATTACAACCATGCAACCGAAACATTTAGCCGTTGGAAAATTAGAATAAAAAGTTATAAATAGATTTTTGTTTTCGATTAAAGGCGACAGTGAATTAATATATGTCTGCATAATAATGAAATAAAAAGAAAGTATCCGTTACATTGATCTGGAAGAGAAGAAATAAATATTTTATGTTTGTTTTAAAAAGATTAAGTCTGTGATTTATTTTAAAAGTAATTCTATCAATAAAAAATCAGCTTAAGTAATGAAAGATATTTTAAAAGATAGAAAATAAATATGTGTATGCCAATTGTGGCATCACAATTACTGAAAAATTATTTTGCAATTCGGGCTCAAGTTTTAAATTTTTTAAACCATATTTTAATATGAGATAAATATTTCTATACTTCAGAATTCAAAAAGTTTTTGACCATTAATAAAATAAGTAATAAAGAATAAATAATTTAAAAAAATATTTGGCATAGATTTATCTTTGGAAAAAAGAGTTATGGATTGTGTGTAAACATTTTTTGATTTTATTAAGGTTTATTAGATCCAGGATGAGGCGTAAAAATTGAAAATAACATTAAGGAATCCAAACTAACAACCACTTTCCTGTTGAAACTATTGACACTATATCTTCCAGAGTGCAGCTACCACCCATATCGTAATGATTAAAAATCCAAATCCATTAAAAAGAAGGTACACTTTTCAAAGAAAGCAGATTTTTTGTCTGATTTCATAACCAAAGAATCATCCACACAAATTATTTAGCTTATTTAACACTAAGCACTCAAACCATTATGATTGGGACACAGTACGTCTAATTCTTATCACAAAATAAAAAGTTATTTAAGTGTCCAGTTTTTATTTTGTGCGTTGCATGCATATGTTGTTCAAAACCTATTAAGAGTGATTCCATATTGTAGTAAAAGATTTAATTTTTACTACTAATAGTGTGATTCAAGTTAGGAATAATCTTATGCATGAAACCTCCATCCTCAATTTTTAAAAATATTTAACAAAAATAACTAAGATTTTAAAAAAATTTTGACAAAGATAATTAAAAAATTTTAAAGAAAGTAAAAACCAAATAATGCAAACATGAAAGTTTAACAGTAATTAATTATTTATTCTATAACTAATTCTTAAAAATTTTTCCAATTTTGCATGTATTGTCAGGACAATAAAAAAATAGTTTACTTACCACAGCAATATTCGTATCTTTCACAAGGGACTTGCAAGTTGGAATTATCTAAAACAAATAAAATCTTTAGGATCAATTCATCTTTGTTATCAATTCATAAATGATGTTATATAAATTCAGAAATTGTTATTTGTCATTCAGAATAATGAATAAAGAATAATAAATAACTATTTAAAATCTTTGTGAATAATGAATAAAAATTAATTCATTAGTCAGAAATATTTTCAACAAAAAATCATTCATTACTTTTAGTCATTATTCCTTATCCATTTTTCAAGAACAAATTCACAATGAATAATTTCTTGAACTAATGCTCAACAGAATTGGGCACCAAATACTGTAAGCCAACTACAATTGCAATTGACAACAAATAAAAAATATATACTAATAAACTTCTTGTAATCGTGATTACAAACAGTCCCAGTTACAAGTAGCGATTTCTGATGATTAAAAACAGTTATGATTGACTGTAATCACACTAGGAAGCAGTTACAGGTAATTTTGAATAGAAAAAACCAAATTATTTGATTGCTAGTAATCAATTGTGACTATATGCAAGCATAATGTAGAATTACAAGCAAACATGATTACCAGTAAACATAAACTAATGGTTAAAGTTTTCTCGAATACAAATTAGTATAATAATTACAGCACGGATATATGCAATCACACTTTGTAATGTAATTATTTTGTAGCAAATTATTTTTGAATAAACAAATTTTATAATTGTGGGCAAAAAGTTTTTAATTCGCTTTGAAAATTTCCAGACATATGTTGAAATATGCACATAGTAAAATTAACATTAAGGAGTCCAATAATTTGGACCACTCTCTCGACCAAACTATTGGGACCATATTTCCAAGATTGCAGCTATCCCTTGCATTTTGGAGGTCAGAAATCAGAATCCATCTAAAAAAGGTATGTTTATTCAGAGAAAGTACATTAATTAGCATATTAATGTACTTTAGCATGATTAATTAGCATGATTAATTAGCATATTTGAAGTCTCTCCCTTCGAACCATAAAAATTGAGTCCTAGAACATGAAGATTCGATCATAAGAATCAAAAGTTATTCAGGTTGTATCTTCTTTTTTTGTGTACCACACATACATACACACATATGTATATATTTTTGAACTGAAAAATGTAGGCTTCATGTACACATATTACATACACGTATGTAAATACTTGCATAAACATATAAGTACACTATTTATAAATATGTATATAAACACATACACTCTATCTAAATACTTGAATACATATATGAGTATGTTCATATGAAGGTAAGTTGTATGTTCACACATAGGTAAGTATTATGTACAGTGTGCAGAAAAAGAAAACCCCCAAATTTCTTTTAATCTTATGATCGGATTTTCACATACTAAGAATTAACAGTTTAAGGGTCTTACTTTAATATGCTAATTTTTAGTGGAATAAAGGGATGAGGAAACTACTTTTGTTAAACCTAACATCTTATAATATAAAAGTTTTAACATTAAAAAATATAGAAAGACTATTAAAAACTAATTCAATCAAAACTCATAAAAAAATGGGATAGTTTTTCAAATAAATTTCAATAAAACATATGCGATACCCAAAGATCTCTATCATAGTATAAAACTTTTATTCTAGATTCATATTGAAATTTATTTACTTACAGATACAGAAGGAGTCATAGGAGTCACTGGAGAAATAAATCGTTCTTTCGAAGGAGTAACAATGCCTGGAGCTTCTTCATACTCTGCTTTATCTTTTGTCTGATCTTGTGGTAACTGGGACAAATTGTGTTCTTGCTCTTTATGTTTTTTCTCCTTTTTGTGACGCTTACTCTTATGCCCAGAAGAATCTTTACTTTTTTTGGATCTCTGAAAATTTGAACATTAAAAAGAATTTTTTAGAATTTTTTCTTTTTAGAACAGTCAAATACATTTGAAATCAGCCTCATAAAGCAAAATAAAATTTTGAGGCTGACTGAAATACCTTGGCTGACAAAGATAAACACTATTCTACAAAATAGCATACTCAGTGTTCTGTCCATCACTTTTGTTACACACCTTATAAAAATTCAAACAAATATTTGCAAGTACCGATTTCACTTTAATAAAACTTTTTATATCAGAATAAGCATTAATGTTCAAAACATATCATATTTGAAACTCATTACAGATATTTATTTTGAAAAATCAAAAATTCTATTCTTCATAGTTCCAGAAAGAATTTTTTTCTAGAAGTAAAAAGGGTAATATACTTATATTTTAATAAATATTAAAAGAATTTTGTCCACCACTAAACAGAATTAACTTAAACAGATATATAAAAAATCATATAGTTATCATCTTAAGTTTTAACAATTCTGTAAAATATCGGTTTGTTTAAAAATTCTACTTTAGTTCACTACCACTAAAAAATAATTTGAAACTAAGGAGAATCTGTAGTAATTGTTGGAGTTCCAGAAAATCTAACAATCTTAAAGAATTGATGCAAAACATGTTGTTACATAATGTTATAAACTATTACTTACAAGAGAATGTTGTTGGCTCTATCAAAAAATGTCAACAGTATTTACTTACCAATAACACAATAGATAATTCAAAAATTTCTGAAAAAATTTTGAATTATCTATTGTGAAATTTCTGAGAATGATGAAAGACTATCTTCTCTTTAACATTTATAAAAGAATGGGTTTAGACTACATAATAGGTTTTTTACTATTTGCAGTTATGTCAGATGTTAAACAACTTTCTTTAAAAATCTTTAACTCCACATTTTTTTTAATATATGGAACATTTCAAATATACTTATTTTTTAAATATACAGCCAAAGACGATTTTTTTTTTAAATATACAGTAAAAGCATCAAATAACCGGAATTTTGAGAAGTTGATTAAAAATATAACTTTTTTTTCTTTATTATTTCAAAGCATCGATTGTAACATTCAAAAACCTGTAAATATTGATCAACTGCAAATGAATCTTAATCTCTTTAATTGCACTCAAATATAAACAAGCATTTAAGAGGAAATGAGTGCTATATACCCTCTAAATCACCCTTATCATTAAACCAATAATGTACAAATTCAAATGTGCAGCTGTGTGTCAAGCAAAAGGTTTCACGCAAAGGACAAATTTTCCCCACCTATGAAACAGAGGTGAACTTAAGAGATCTTGGAATCAATTCAGGGGGCAACCTGCTTAACTTCCCATACAGGAAACTAGTTTTTTTTTTCATGTTACACAATGAAAAAACTGTGACAAGGAATTGTACAAGATTCTTAATTGGAAAATTAAGTATCTGATAACTAATATTGTGATGAAATAAATTTTTAAAAACAAATTTAAACTTGACTAACTTCTTTTTCTTTTCTCTCTTTCTTGTGCTTATGCTTTGAAGATACTTTCACAGTTTTCTCTTCATGGTTATTTACGGATTCTTGTGCAGGAGGAAGCAATTGCACATCATTATTTAAAGGTCTGGAAAATAAAATACAAAAACTACCAAACAAGAATAAAAGCATACTTCATCATTTCTAGAAAGTTTCAAAAAATATTATGAAACCACGTTATTATATGAAGCATTTTCAAAATACAGTCAACCCTCATTAAGAGGAAGTTGAAGGACTGCAAAACAATTTTTGGCATTAAACAACAAAAAGATTTTCAGATAATTTTAAAAAACACAATACTAAAGGAAAGACGTCAAAGAATTTTAATGATATCTATAGTATAATAAATGGAAAAACAAAATTTAAAAATATATTAACCTTTTATAATTTCAACTTTTAAAAAAAATCGTTTATTAACTTTTGCATGAAATGTTGCATTTTACATTTGCTAATAAAAGAACCCACTTTTTCCAAACTGTACAAAAAAAATAATAGGCATTTTCTTGCTCAAATAGGAGCCACAAAATTACAGACTAATCAAAGAATGACAATCACAAAAAAAATTCATTATCAACAGGGAGGAAATCTTAATTCTTTTCTCTTTCCCCAGGGTTACCATTTAAGCTGACACCATTCACCTCATAGTCAAAATTCCACACACTCCTTCATGTGTTTAGTTGGTGATGTCACTGATTGCAGACTGATTTGAACTAATAGTGACCCCCTATCTGCTCCAAGAGCAAATACACTAACCTTACTTTTACAGTTTAGGAAAAGGGATAAACTTGTTTGAAGAAAGGTCACTGCAAAATTTACAATAAAGAATTTGTTTTTATATTAGCATTAAATGACGTAAATATTATTTTTCCAAAATAACATGATGGAGAAACTATTTTCCTTCGTCGTAAACAAAAATTTGAGTTAAATGTTTTCACCTTAACGAGGTTTGGCTGCAGGTTTAGATTTAGAAAGCAATTAACTAAGGAAATTAAAAAATGTTTAGACAAAAGAAAAATCAGATTCCTAAAAAACTAAATTTCAAGTTTTTAGTATTTTCATAGCAAGAATAATACTCACTCTTCTAAATCAATATTTAAAGCTCTATGAGGATCGTCTGGGTTGCCACCATCATCATCATCACTGCTTCGGGCCCCATCTGGCATTTCTCCCTCTGTTATATTAACAACATGTAAAGGAGACACATCTTCTTCACTTTCAACATTTTTGGAGTTTTTGCTCTTCTTTTTTCGTTTCAGTTTACGCTGCTTCTTGTTTAATATCTTGTTTTCGTTATTATGGTAGTTTTCTGATGATGTAAGTCCTTAAAAAAACATAATCAAAATAGTATATGTTTTTATTTATGTCTAAGATAACCAATATACCATAAAAAGCCACAAACGTGCTCACAATTTGGCTACTTTAATGTATTCCAAACATTGTTGAGATAAAAATAATTCAAATTAATTTCAGTTACATAAGGAAACATAAAAAAATCATTAAGAATTATTTTAATATTACAACGATAATATCCAAGTAGTACATGTTTTTAATTAAACCTCCTGGAAATACAATACCACTGAAAGATATTATGTTACCAAATGTTATGTTTATTTATCATACTATGTTACCAAACAATCATATTCATGTTTATGCAATGATTACAATGTAAATGAAGTCTTAATGAGAAAGAGAGACTCAATATAATTTATATCAATTCCCTATAACGTCTTTCTTTCATATTAATGAAGTAACAATTACCAAATTGTTCCATAAACTATATAAATTCGAAACTCAAAATTAACGCAATTAGTGCTTGTTCTAAGTTTGCATACATTGGCTTGTCAAAGATCTGCATACACATCAAGAAAAATTACAATTTAACAATAATTGCTTGCAACTTAATGTTATTAGCTTGTTGTGTGTCAATTTTTTTATAACTTCTCTAAGATTTTTTGCTTAACTTAGTACCATTAATGTTCTATTTGTCTAGAAATTAGAGTGGCGTACAAAATTAGTTTATTACATTATAAAGCAGCCATAGCCGAACAATGCATGTTTCTGCTTTGGGTCATTGCCCTGCAGAAAATAAAAATTGTTTCTTTTCTCAAGTTTGCTCTGATATTTTCTTCAGTATGTACAATCCATCAATTCTGTTCATTGTAGAATAAATAAACTACTGACTATCAACCCCATTTCTTCCCATGCACCCCAGACCATCACACCACTTCTTCCATGTGTGGCTATGGAAAGAGATTATCTGAATTCAGCTCTGAGGGTTCTCTCACACATATTCCCCTCCTCTGATGTCGAAAAGACAAAATTTACTTTCATTCAAAAAAATAAATTTTTCCTGAAATCAGATGTTTTATTAAAATGTTGTTTGGCAAAGGCTATTATTCTATTATTTTCTGTTCACCTAAGATATAAGGTAAAATTAGATAATCTCTTATTGACTTGACTGGTAAGCAAGAGGTGGCTTTATATCATAGAGAGAAGTGAAGTTAATTGATTCAAAAGTGAAGAGAACTGATTACTTGAACATACTAAAAAAGTTTAAAACCAAGTATTGAGAAGCTTGAGATGACTGACAATTTTTATTTTCAGCATAACAATAAGCCTATGCAGAATATCACACAATTTGAAGCTATGGCTACTTTATTACCTTAACCTAATGAATGATTATGGGATTTACTTGAATGGAAAATCAGAGAGGTTAAAATAACCTCCAAAACAATGACACTTAACCAGATGAATCAAAGCTAAATAAGTTGAGAGAAGTCATAAAATAGGAAAATGCTACAAGTACTAACTTTAAGTTGAAAGCCATTATAAACGTTTCTGCCAGTGCATGCAAACTTTTGATGTGCACAATTTGAGTAAATTTGAAATTAAGTATTTTTTTATATTTTTTATAATAATCAGGTAAGTAATTAATCTGCTAAGAAGGACTGAAGTTGCAGGGAATTAATACAAAAAATTTTATACTTTCCAATTCAAATTTTTTCAAATATTATTAAATAAAATAATAAATATTTACAAAAATTTGTTTTTTGCATGGAATTATCTTTGGACAAACAAACTTTATGTGTGCAAAAAATTTTAACTTAGCGTAAAAAGTTCTCGGAATGTAGCAAAATACACAAAAAATCTAATTAACGTTAAGGGGTCCAAACTTTCCTTCTCTCTTGACCAAACTATTGGGACCATATTTCCCAGATTGCGGCTACCCCCTAAATTTTGGGGGTCAGAAATCTAAATCTGTTGAAAGAAAGACTTGCTTATTTAGAGAAGTATGTTTTTGTGTCTGATTTCGTAACTTAAAATATTGTCTGCACTAATTAATTAGCATATTTGAGGTCATCCCCTCAAACCATTAAGGTTAAGTTCAAGAACCTAAAAATCTGATCATTATTAAGTTCTTTGAAAATTGTACAAAGTTGAAATGCAACTTTCAAAGCCGATTAACAACTTCAATTATTTTATAAATTAAAAATCCCTTTTTCTTGTAAAAATTATTAATTTAAAATTGCAGGCTTATAATATGATAGGTCTTAAAACAATGAACCTTATAGAACACGCTTTTAGATACTAAAAAATTTTTAAGAAGAAAATTAAAAAAGTTATGAGAAATAAAAAAAATTTTTATGAAAAACTTAAAAAATATTAAGTTCAAAAATAAAAATACACAGAATCTAAAAGAAAAGTTGCTTAATATATGTCTCCTAGGATACAAAATTTTATTGAAGAGAGAGAACTTTCCAATATTCCAAATGACTATCAAAGTCAAACAGAGTTAAGATTTAGAACAAAAATAATAAATACCTGGAATGTTTAATGGAGTTTTGCAATCCAGTTCTACAACAGGAATATCATCCGCATTAACATGAGTGTTCTGAAAAAAATTTATGAGTGTTACATACATATACAAAATTTTTAATATACCTAAGGAAAAAAAATTTAATATAGGGCAGGGATGGCGAACCAATGGCACGCGACACAATATTTTGGGCACCTCACCGATCACAGAGTTCACTATGAAAAACTTAATTAAAATTCACAAAAAAATAACAATTAATGCCAAAAAAAACAATTAATAACCATAAAAAAACAAGCCAACAATAAATAACTAGCAAAAAAAATTAACAGTTCTGCTTAAACTAACATCTTATAACCCTAATATAAGTTATTTGTCATCTAATCTGCAACAACAGAAGTCACACTGATGTTACTTTAAGTTGAATTACGCGTATAACTGAGAAATTGCAAAATGTTTTTTTTATTTTTTGTAGACAGTAAAAGTTTTGAGTTGATAGTATTTAGTATTATTATTTACCCTATAATCACGAAGTCAAAACTATTTGTCGGCACGGGTATGACCACATTAAAAAATTTTTTAGAAAAAATGGAACGTTGGTGCATAAAGGTTCGCCACCCCTGATATAGGGTAATAAGGTTATAGGAAAAGTATAAAATAGAAAAATATTGTGAATGTAAGAATACATCTTTATTTAACTACCAACCAAGGGTAATCTCTAAACTTTTAAAACACCAAAACAATAAAGTCTTTATTCACCTTTTTGCTGGCTTTCAAGTAATGAGGATTATTAGCTTGCTCGAACATTCTAGCTTCACGGCACTGAAAATAGCATAGTAAAGTAGAAATATTAGTTAAAAAATATCATTTGAATAAATAATTAAACAGAAAAAATTTTAGTTCATATTATTCACTTGGCACTATATAATGAAAGGCTACCATGTTAGCTTGAATTCCTTTCATAATCATTATTATTTTAAGAAACTATATTATTATAACACTAAAAATTTCACTCTATGTGCTAAAAAAATTCACTACCACTGAAAAAAACTATTTAATTGTATGTTATTTATAGGATATAAAAGTGTTAAGTTGTGAATAATATTAAAACCATTACCATGATAACAGCTAATAATTCAAAAACAATTATCTTAATTAAAAATAGTAGCTGAGATTATTTAATTTAAAAGAATAAACTTTTATTTAAAATGAGATTAAAAAATTATGCATTGAAATAAATAATATATTCAAATCAATAATTGTTTACTCAAAAAAAGTAAAGAATTATAAATTATTTTGTTCATTTTATTTTTCTATCATACTTAATTTATATCAGTTTGATTTCATTACACTGAATATGTAGCAATGGTTTGAAGCAATATGCTGACCACAGCATTTCGATTAAATTTTACATTCAACGAAAGGAACTAACTGTTTTATGAGTAAGAAAATGATAGTCGATAGAAAATTTGCAAACATATAATAATGAAACAACAGTTTTAATCACTTTAAGTTAAATGTATATCAACAGAGGCAAAAGGTATTAATGTTTATGTCGAAATGCAAAACAGCCCAGGAATAGAAAAATATTTAGAATGCCGAGAAACAAAGAGAACAAACAAGGAATTCTTACATTTCCTGATAAATGAAAAATTAGAACAGTCATGATAAAATTTATGACATACAGTAAAAGCTTGTTACATTAAGAGCAGCATACTATGAGAAATCTGCTATAATGACACATTTTCAAATACAACCACAAAGCTTTCAGGGAAATGCGTTTTTCTGCTGTTTAAGTGATCAATATTGAACAATAAAGGTATAAATGAAATACATTTTTATTTATTTCTGGTATCAATACAGAAAAGCGAAGAATGGACATTGAGTCCTTCCAACAACTTTAATACTTTATTTTTTAAGAGCAATGTGTGAGTAACCATTGCCTAAGTTATCCTACCTTACCTAATAAAAGAAAAACTCTTCCATTGTTTTTCAAAAATCTTGTGGTGAACTTCAAAAGAATGTGCCTTTTATTTTCATATTTATCAAGTCCTCTTATATCCCTTTTAAACAACTTAATGTTAAAACTAACATTCACTGTTATCATTGATGCCAAAAGATATTGCACTTCATTTAAATTCTTCTAGCAAAGAATTGTTATGATTCGAAACTTATTGTTCTAACATTCCTGTCTCAGATATTACTGCTTTTCATGAAGAACAGAACTGCATAACTCAGTCTATAATTGGTTGACAATTGTAGTCTTCGCTAGATGTGTATTTTAAATCAAATTACTTGTTCAAAACAAAAGGAAAAGAGGTAAACAAGTCTATTTAATTTTTTACTCCTTTTCATTGCTGTTTTAAGATTAAATATGTGTAGTTGATTAAAACAATTAACTCGCTACATTGGCAATTCCATCTGCTATTAGGAATTTTTGTTGCTTTTACTGAACTTTTTTTACTTTTGAACTAAACAAATATTCAAAAATTCTGTTGCTTTAATTATTAACATACCCTCCAACTGCTACGGAATTTCCGTAGTTTCAGAAATCTTCTTTTCAGACGGTAGCAAAATTAATGTCTTAATATTTTAAAAAAATTAATTTTAGCGTAACTTGTCCACTATTACTTATAAAAGTGCAGGCCATATGGCTAGATTCTTAAGTTCTGATAAAAGTTTTATGAGAGATCCATTTGCTTTAAAAATTTCTACTTTGGTTCGCTACCACTAGAAAGAATTATTTTCAAAATCCTCATAAGTTGGAGGGTATGTATTAAGCCTAAAAATTATTAAGTTCACAAATTAAGAAGCATCATATGGTTAAATAAGCATTCTAAAGCATTTATTTTATTTGGCTTTTCTCTCTGTTTTGCAAGTTCAAGTTTTGCGTTATATTTTAACAAATTTTATTCTTTATCAATCATATTAAAGCTAGGATTTGGGTGAGTTCCAACCAAAACAAAAGCGATCTAATCATTACATATTATATTGCTAATTCCTACAGTCAAAGTTGAAAATTTACTTTTTCCATATCTTCTTCTGTCAAATCAGTAGACTTTTGATTTGATTTTGGCACATATAACCTATAAAATAAAAGAAAAAATTTTTTTGATAAACTTACAATTACAAATCTTAATATGATGAAAATAATAAGTTTTCAATAAACTACATGCAAGAAAAGATCATTATTAAATAAATTGGTGAAAACATATTAGTAACAGATTTTAAAAATATATTTTTTAACTAGCCTTACTCAGAGACATTCTTAGTTTGGTACAATATTAGCATGATAATTAGTGATTAGTGAAAAATTATTAGCTTCAAAATTCCCCACTTGGTATAAATATGGTATTGATGACACAAAACAATCTAACTTTAAAATGCAAATAAGCTATATAAAATTGTAGCAAAAAAAATCAAAAATATATAATGAATAAAAAATTTATAGTAACACCCATAAATCAGAAATTTCTTTAATTAAAGAATAATTTATTTATAACAGAACCCTAACTCTCCAGATTATCAGAACCCTTTGCATGATTGTTGAAAATTAAATTAAGTGCTAAGAGTCATCAGGAAACACAAAAAAAGCAGAACATATAGAAAACCTTATATGACATAAATGTCTGTAATCATTAAACTAATTCTTTCTCAAAACTTAAAAAAATACACATTTTTCTATTTTATTTAGAATATATAGATGTCAACTTGAACAGGTAGTCAACTTACAAAGGTAGTCAATTAGACAGGTTTCACTGTAAAATTACTCATACTAAATAATATGTACATTAACAATTGAAACAAATGGGGGGGGGGATTTAATTGCTTTCTTTAGATGAATCAGATGAATTATTATCAAATCATTATCTTTTTAGTTTTTTCTTTTATCTTTTTAGTTTTTTCTTCCTTTTTTAGTGACAGTAAAAACTCTTATAATATTCTTTCACATATTATAAGAGTTAATTAAATTGAAATTATTATTTTTAATGATTTTGTCATCTACCATATTCGTGGCATTAAGGAAATGAATTAAAAGAAAACGATTTTTTCTTTGAAAAATTTTAATATATTATTAAACATATTGTCACTCACTGGTTATTGAATTTTCCAAAAGTGTCACTATTTCCTTCATCATATGAACCTTCATCTTCAGAAGGAGGCTCGTTTATCCAAGCATCTAAATCTAAACTGAATATGAAAAAAGTAAAAGATTTAATATAGTTAGAAGACAAACTGTGAATATAAATGTAGAACATGTTGTTTAATTGATTATCTATAATGTAATTAAATTATTGTTTATGTAGAAATATTGACATGCCATATATTAGAATGATTTGTCATCAGCAAGCATGCTATATTTCTTCAAATCATCAAATACTTAATACATATTCCACAAGGCAAATTACATTTACCATTAAACATAAAAGACAACCAATGCCACTAACAAAAAAACAGTTAGCTGCAAAAAGAAAAAAAATTGTTTCAAAAACTAATACGAAATAACAAAGCACATAATCAATTTAAAAATTACCCAGCTTACCCATCTGGAACAGGAACTTTCTTTTGTGCCTTAGGTGCCACAGGATTCAACTCTCCAGTAAACAGTGACAACAACTCTGGAGCAACTTTTTCTCCTTTAGCTTGTAATTTACTGATTTGTTTTACTAAATGAAGAACACAACATGCCTGAAAGATAATTGTTTAAAAAAAAATTTAGACCTTACAATCAAATCTAAGAAAATATTGAATAAATCTTCATACTTTAAAACATGAATAAATCAATGTACTGTCACAAATTATAAGCAGCTACACAACACCAAATTAAAACAAAGAACTAGTACATTTAAAAAAAATTGGAACATACAGAGGAAAAAGAATTTAATATTGAAATGCAAGACATATTTATTTATTTAAAAGTTTAAATGATAATGTTATTAAAAAAATGTACTTAAGTATTATGAGATTTACATTTATAAGATGATATATTTTTAAACATTTCCATTTTAAAAACCAATATAAACATGTGGTTTAATGTAAATGTATTAAAACTCAGGGTGGATATTGCCTCAAGCACAGTAACCTTTGCATATGATAACTGATTGCTGCAAAGAAAAATGTGCCTATTTATGGCCTGAAGTTCTTCGAGGAAAAAATAATTGTCATATTGAAAAATGCATAACGTATTTTCCTAACATTTAAAAACCAAATTATTAACTTATTCAATCATTTTTCCTTTATTTTAATAAAAATCATAAATATAATCTGTACTATTTTAATACCACAACATTGAACTGAAGTGCAGAATAAAATCTATTTTTAGAGATTCCCTCTACATCTACCTAACACATTATTATGTTGTCTTATATGCTCCAGTATTTCTCTGTTTACTTTTTTTAGAAATTTCTTTTTATGGACTTAGTCAGCAAGATAGGAATGAATCTCTGGCAATGTAAATACACTAGCCCAGAATGAATCATCTGCATGCATGATGTCCATCATGCATGCAGATGATTCATTCTGGGCTAGTGTATTTACATTGCCAGAGATTCATTCCTATCTTGCTGACTAAGTCCATAAAAAGAAATTTTCTGATGATTCATTCTGGGCCATTGTGCAGCATGATGTCCATCATGAGCATGATGTCCATCATGCTGCACGATGGCCTAAGTTGTTTGTTGGCCAAAGTTGAGTATCATCTAGATTAAAGACTACATCATCCAGAGGTTTCATTGCATTATCTGGAGATATTATATCAACCATAGTGGCAACATAAGGACAAACTGAAATATAAAACTGATCTTATATTTCACTTTTAAATAATAAAGTTGTTGATTTCTGGGTTGCACCTCGAGCAAGAGGTAACATACCATCAAATAATACATTCCAACCTTTAATTTTTGAATTATAGTTGCTATTGTTACAATTTGTAAGTTTTAATTTAAGTCCAAAATATTATCTTTTGAGCATGAGCTTTACAACTTTTACAACACTTGCTAAATTTTTTTATATTTACACAATTAGTTTAAGAAATTAGTGATATAGGGTAAAGTGCTGAATTTGAAATTATCATAAAAGTGTATTGAGTTGAAACCACTTTGTAACTAAACTTTTATTACTTTTTCAGGATTGATGACTACCCTCTTCAACTTTGAAAATAAAATACGAATTCACCGAAAAAAGTGTATGTATCATTAGAGAAAGTATATTTTTGTGCTATTTGTGATATGTTGATCAGTGATGTTTTATCGTTTTTCTCGTTTTGTTGGGCCAGGGACAAGTTTGATATTTTTAAATTTTTCTTACTTCAAACTGTCCTTACAAACACTTATTAGATTTAATTTTTAATCATTACTAGAAGTATGATTAAACAATTTTTAGCAATTTTATTTTTATAAAAACAATACAAATAACAAATTATAACTATTCAGTGTTTTCACTACAGCACGAGAATGCGAGAATCTCGCATATTTTTTTCCTTCCTAGCAATAAAAAATTACTAACGCAAGAAGTTTGTGCACTCTATTAATCAATTTCAAAATGCACAAATTTTGGAAAAAATTTTGTCTTTTGCCATTTTGAATAAAATCCGTTTCACTTTTCTTCCTTGATCTTTCATTATTTTGAACATCAGTCCTTGTTTACATAGTCCTTCCCTATTTATCAGTATTGTTCAGAACCAATGCGAACAACAGAACCCCCCCCCCCCACCGAACCCCTTTCAGAACACATTTCTCTGCAACCACGTGTTCACTGTAGGTAAGGTTTCTTCATGTAAGACGTTTACATTTTTTGTGCATGAATGTAAGATGGACAAATACCTTGTTAAGGCGACATCTTCTACTCTGTAACGGACAAATGAAAATGAAACAAATGTCGGTAGAAACGGTCAAAACGAGACAAATGCGAATATTTTTCAGTCAAATAAATATAATAGCTGATGAAAAAGTAGATCGAGAACATTTTCCATATGATGATGCAGCAAAAATATTCAATTAGAAGATGTGAAAAATGTATTATAATTAAAGAAATAAATTTTTTTCCAAGTCTATTCATGTTTTCTTAATTTTTAGAAATCTCACTTAACTTTTTGAAATCTCACCCTGTTTTTGAGAAAGGGTGAGAAATTCTCTCCCATTTTTTTTCTGTAATGAATACACAGCTATTTTAATTTGAAACCCTTGAATTTACGTTTGTGAAACTCAGAAAGAGGCCTAATTCAAACATCTTGCACTGGGGCCCCCAAATACTTAGCTACGCCACTGGAAAGTTTCGAGAAATACATCAAAAATTTTATCTATGTTACTAAATATTTTATTATTATGAATAATAACATGCAGAATAGTTTTAAGGTTCTAGAAATTTTATCATCATCATGTCACTATCAATACAAGTATTAGAATAAAGCTTGCACCGAACACAATACAAAAAGATAAAGTTTTTTTATGGAAAAAAGAAAACAAATAATGAAATAACCAAAACATACCCTTTCTTGAACTTCTAAGTCAGCACTTTGCACAAACATTGGCATCCTCTCAAGCAATAAAGAAGATACTACAGTGGCTTGTTCTATATCTTGCTCAGATTCATATAATTCAATCACTCGTGCATATAACTTTAATGCATTTTGAACTAAAATACTTTGTATGTGTGATGGAAGAAACATTACTTTTTCATCCATCATTGCTTCTAAAGTATTCACAGGTGAGCTAAGCATTCTAAAAATATTAAATTAATAAGGAAAAGAAACATAATTCTAATTTATTTGAATGTGATGTCATATAAAAGCATAAGGATTTTTAAAAAAAATTAAAATTACAGTACAGAACCCGTAATCCGGAAATCACAAAACCGGAACGAAATTCGATACATTTTCCCGCCATTTTTTTAAAAAAAAAGTTTTTTTCCTCATAAGATTTTAGAATTTTTCTTTCTTTTTTGAAAGATGTTTACCTTACCATCATTTTGGAAATAATCATTAGTATATTACTTCATCGTTTTTTCTTCCTTTTAAGATTATTTCCAAAAATTTTTTTTTTAGTTGCGCCTAACAATAAAAAAAAACGGCTTTTTGTAGCGATTCAGAAAACCGGAAAAATCAGTTATCCGGAATAGCGATGGTCCTGATCGTTCCGGATAATCGGTTCCCTCTGTATATAATTACTAATGTAACTTTTTTAAGTAATTTGTTTCTATTTTAACAACCAGTAATGTTCATATTTATCCTCAACATTATTCTTTGAGAAAATAAGAATTTTACTATGGCTAACAATTATTTTTATACTAATTAATAAAAACTTTACTTTCTGTTTCTTTAATAAACCATTTACCAAGTATGGTTATCGTTGATTTATAGCACTATTATAATTGTTTCAGTGCTGGCAAAGAATTCTAATAAAATTATGCACAATACATTTTTATGGAAACAATTTAATTAAAATACTTAAAAAATTAGAGGTATTCCTGCACTTAAATAAAAGACCATTCTTAAATAAGTTTATATTTTTTATTTAAATACCATGGATAAATTATTCATTATATTTAGTACTAAAAAATAAATATGTTTGACTTCAACACTTTAATGATACTGATTAATGCAGTTAAAATAATTTTTTTTTCTTTATGAAATATTTTTAATTTTTACAACCTCTTTTGCCATAATTTAATAGTTTAATAAAATGCTTTGGAATAAAATTTTGATAGTAATTTTGTGTAAGCATTATAACGCTGATTGTAATTCAACATTATTAGTAAAATTAGTAATTTTATTAAGAGCTTAATAAGTTTTTTTTCTTTCAAACTTTTGCAATCTCAATCTAAGCTTTGTTCCTAGCAATTAATTCTAAAGGTAAATAGAATATTCTTAAAATGTACAAAATATAAAAAAATATATAGAACATTAATATATAGCAGACTATTAAGTCTAATATTACTTAGTTTAGGTTCCATATAAAACCATAACAAATGAATTAAAATACACATAAAATATGATAACAAAAAATAATAATTTTAAAAATATTTTATTGTGATTATAGTCTCCTTTATATAAATATTTTATTCATAGGGTGTGCACATAGAAACAATGTTAGTTTTTTTATTGCTATTTGTTATATAGCAATGATATATTTATTAGTGCAAGCAATAGTTAAATTAAATTACGAGAATTCATGCGAAAGTTAGAACACAATGACTTTTCAGAGCAAACTATTGTAAACTAACTGCAGAGGCCCTGATGATGACAGTTTGGCAAAAATCAGGTTACCTCAAGTTTCTGCTCAAAATGAAAATAAGCTTTTTCTAATTAAAAATAATTTTCAAATTAACACTTTAAAAAGGGTTACTAAAATTTTTTCTGGGGTTTAAAGCCATTCTAATTGCATTAAAATTAAAAGAAAAATTTTATACTATAATTAGAAAAATGTTACACTATACTGAAAAAAGATTTTAAAAAAAAGAAGTATACTATAAGAGTTATACTAAAATTAAAAGACAATAATGGAAGTTGAGTAATGGGTTGAGTCTCTTATTTATTCCTTTTTTCAGTAAATATTTGTCAAAATCTTAGTTTACCTTGGAAGCCAGGAAAGGGTCTCAGCTGGTTCTGTTACATAATAAGCTCTACTTCCTTCATTGTCTGAGAAGGACAATACAGTTTAAAACTGGTACTTGTTTGGATTTGGAACAAATTTGCAGCAATATTTATATTTTGGCTACAGACTTGAATAAGAGTTAACTTTACTACACCACAAAATAAAAAGATGATTAGTTGTCCATGATGCAAAAAAAAATTTCGTTTTATTTTTTTTTCTGAGACCTAACTGATTAATTAAATGGTACTAAGTACTCTTTAAAGACTGTGAATGGGCTAAAATCAAAACATCATAAAACAAATGTGTGTATATATAATATATAAATGTGTGTGTGTATAGAGAGAGGGTGAGTCTGAACAAGATGGCAAAACTTTACTTGGTGATAGAACGCATCTACAGGAACAGTATTCATCATAAAAAATACATGATAAGAACACAAGCAGTGAGAAATTAAGTCACATTTAAAAAAATTAACACAAGAATGCGAAAAAATGCTTTAAAAATCTTTTAATTTACAGAATATGGAAGATATACAAAGAAATCATTCAAAAGAAAAAGATGTAATTGATGTACAAAGAATTGCTCAAAGAAACACTCAAAGAAATTGCTCATAAGATCTTCTGCCAGAAACAATACAGCCAAGCACAATTCTTTAACATCTCTTTGAGCAATTCTTTGGACACCAATTACCTCTTTTTCTTTTGAGTAATTTCTTTGCATATCTATCATATTCCAGACTGTGAATAAAAAGTTTATGAGGCATCTTTTCCATCTCTCGTGATAATTCTTTAAATGTGACAAAGAAAAACTACCTTTTAACTGCTTATGCCCTGAACATACATTCTATGATGAATACTGCTCAGGTAGATACGGTATATCACCCAGTAAAGTTTTGCTGTCTTTTTTAGACTCACCTTGTATACATATAAACTTAACATTTTAAGTTATTCCTTTTCTATAAATCTTTTTCTTAATTTATTATTTAAAACAAAATGCCCCACACTTTATTTACATCCTGTCTTTTAATCTACTTTTAGTTCAAGTGGATACTATTACTTGTCATATTCGACAATAAATAAAAGAATGTCAAATCAAAGAACAAAAAAAGAATGAAAATATTCATGAAAATGTTAAAGAAAATCATGAAATGTAAAATGAAAATTTTGGACATAAAAAAAGAATAACAAGAATGTAAACAAAGTGAATTTAAAGAAAAATAAAATAAAATATGGACTAAAAAATTAAGATTTAAATAGCAAAACGGAAAGTAATATTGAATTTACAAATATTTGGGAGACTGATTGTGATAATAAGGCGCCTCATTGTCAGAATCATGTTGACAGAATCATGTTGAAGAAAATGAAAAATGTCAACATGTTAGTTAATGCATACTTGAATTACAATTGATTAAAATACAGGATTTGAATTTTAAAGTGTGAGAAAGAGCATTTTGTTTTGAATAATAAATTACGAAACATTTACAGAAAAGGAATAACATAAGAAGTTTAACTGAAGCTTTTTATGATGCATATACATATATATATATATATATATATATATACATATATATATATATATTTAATCAGACAAAAAGTATGGATATTGACTACAAGGTACACTAAATTTTATATCATAAGAATTGATTCTGCATTAAGTTAAAGAAATTTTAAGAATTTGTGAAATTTAGATCTTTATTTTTTTGCAAACAAAATATTAATTAAAAAATTATTATTTTTTGAAAGTAAAATTATTTAAAAAGAATTTTATGATGAAATAAACCAAAAATTCAAGTTAAATGAATTTTGGACAGTTGTTTTATTAAAAGTGCAAAAATGCCAATTTTTGAATGTTTTGATAACTTTGTTTATAAACCTGTATAGCATTTTGCATGCAAAAAAATAAACAAAAAATAATAAATCTTTTCTCTTTCTTTAAAAAAAAAAGTTACTTCATTTTAGATATTCTAAAAAAAAAAAAGAAAGAAAAATCAGCTTTGACATACTCTGAAAATTCACCACATATCCAAGCTGCAGCATAAAGCACTTCGGAAATGCTATTTCTATCAGAGCTTCCTTGTAAAAATTGTGCATTTTTTAATAAAATAGCCTGAAAAATAAAAGAAAATTAATTCAAAATAAAATGATTAACTGAGCAATATAAGAAGAAATTATTTTAGCATTTAAAAACAAATTTAACATATAGTTTAAATATGTAAAACAGGTTTCATATTTTGAAGGTAAAGACTCATGTCTGTGGAAAGACAAAACACATCTGCTCAAAAATATGAATTATTTTTTAAAAATAAATCACTTGTAAGAATTATATAAAAATTTTCTCAAGAAAAAATAATCAACTGTTTAATGGGCAATTTTCTTCGATTTTTTTTTCTTGTGTTGTTAGCAGGGATTCTAAGTATACACAAACCAAAATTTCTATTCAGTAATAATAATATATAATATCTTAACAACATAGATTGGACAAAAATTCAATATTTTGGTACATTTTAATATTTATTAATATAGCTCCTCCATTACACATATTGATGATACAATATAATTACTGAAATACAGTTTACGCAATATACAGAAAAAATAATTTAAGTTATGTTAAAATAAATATTTTGATTTTTTTTCTATTCCTTGTTTGTATCGATGAGCAAAAATTAGTAAGAAAAAATTTTTTTATAAAAATCAGCATTGACAATTGTAAATATCAGGCAATGAACACATTATTTCTACTTGTTTTAATTCTCTTGTAGGTGGCTAAATTTTTTTATGTTAACATCAAGATATAAATAACACACATTAGCAAACAAATTTTGAAGAAAAATAAAGCCTTTCCAGGGGACCTTATATCCACCTTCAACTGTAAAGTTTTCAGGGACATTTAAGGAAGTGCAAACAAATAAGTGCTATAAGTGCTACAAATTGTGTGGTGTAAATACCAGGATTGAATTTAAATGCTACTTCAGTAATTGATTTAAGACATATCAAACTTGGAAGAACCTGCAATACTGTAAAATATAGCAAAAATGAAAGTTCAAGAAGTATGTTTAATTGATAAAATTGAAAGACATTTTTATTTCTTTTGAACATTAAACCTTATCTAAAAGTCAAAATTTTCCTCAAATATTGAAAAAAAAAGCATAATTCAAACAATTTAATTAGTTCAAAAACTTTGCCATAGTTCCTAATATTTTAATTCTATTAAAAAATTGTAAAAGACATTTATTTTAACAAAGTTTTAAACTACTTGCTTCTGATGACATTTTGCTTACTCTCTCTTAATCAAATGGCATACTGTAGTCAATTCTACATTAGTTGAATTCTTCATAACTTCGTGTATTTTGGCCATATGATGAAGCTATAAGTTATTTAAGTTTTATCGTAACTTATAGGGAACAGGACACTTTATAGTTGTTTAAACAAGTGCATAAAGTTATTTGAACCAGAAACAATGATTTTTTTTTATACTTGCCATTTGAGAAACAGCAAAACTTCTTATTGCTTGAACTCTAATAGCCACATCCAGCATTTGAGCAGCAATAATTGAACCATGTTTTGTTCCTTGTATTTTAGTAAGTTCTACCAATATGCTAACATACCTGTAAAATAATTAAAAGTGTGAATCATTTCAAAATTAGTAGTAAAAAAAACGATACAAAAGTGTTTGATCATAAAATGAATTAATTAGAGCTATGAAAATAGGGACACTACATTAGTTCAACGATCTAGCATATGTAAACATAACTGAAGATAATTTTTATCACTGGAAATATACCTGACCAAAAATAAAATTTTAAAAAGCCATTATTTTATATATTTATTTTCATCTTTGACTATGAAAAAGGAAGTTGCAATTATTGCTAATAAATAAATTAAATTGTGATATAGATTAATCCTTAAGTATTTCTGGAATAAATATTTTTACACAAGAAAATATTTTATTAATGAAACCAGCAGTGAGCTATCACATTACAAACCAGGGAGCCTTGAATGAAAAAGAAAACAAAAGTTGTGTTGTTGCAGTATTTTAAAGAGCAATGGATTGGCAAAACTATTCACCAATCTTAATAGTAAAAATAGGTTTTTCTTCACCATATGTTGGAGGAAAATTTGCAATTGTATGTTACCAAAAAAAGAATGCAAAATGTGCTAAATACTTAAAATATGTATTAAATGCAGTAAAATTTGAGAAAGGCAAATCAAATATTTATTATCTGCAGAATATTAAAAAAAAGCTACTTATTTTCAAAAATTTTAACGAAAGTAATACATACCATTCAAAATTAGTAATATACTGATAATTATTTTGGGAACATATATCAATAATTTTAGAAAGTAATTCATCTCGATACTGTGCTCCTTCAGCTTTGTCCATGTGAGTCATGAGTTTCTTGACTATTTCCATCAAATTTTTCTTTGACACCTAGCAATAAAGGACTCCATGTTATTATATTTGTTTCATAACATAAAGGGTGGGAAAAGAATCTTCTATAAAATGCATTCATCTTTTAGAAAATTTTGTTTTATTTATAAATTTTGTGGAAATAATTTTTAAAAAAAGACTGACACTGCAGCAGACAGTGGAATTAGGAGAATACAAATGTAAAGAAACTACAAAGGAATAATTGAAGAAATTAGATGTCACACACATTGGAGGACAAACTTTTTAACTGACATTTTGTCATGCAAAAATCACGGTCAGCTTAAGACCAGACAAACTTTAATCAGCTCTCAAAAAATGCTGATACTTTAAATTTCAAACAGTAAAAAGCCAATTTTAAAAGTTTTCTATACAATAAATACATAGATTTTATTTTAGTAAGAGCCATGGTGGCACAGTAGTTAAAAGTACTGGGCTGTCATACTGAAGAACTCAATGCATACACGTATTTATAAGGTTTCACATTAAAATTTTATATATTGATTAAATAAAAGGATAATATTAATAGAAAATAACACACACACACACATATATATATATATANTATATATATATATAGAACCCCGATTTTACGTTGTCCGTTTCGTACGCTATCCCGCTTCTTACGTCATGTTACCGATAATGTTAAAAAAATCCCGGATTTTGCGTTACCCCTGTTATGAAAATCCCGCTTGATGCGTTTTTCTACAAGGAGATCAAAAAAAATTTTTTATTCTGTTCGAAATGGTTTTACTCATTTTTCCGTGCTAGCATACCAAATGAGATTTTCAGTCGGTTTTGTTTGAGTTTGAAAGCTATAGCATTTTTTCTCATTTTCGAAATCTCAGTCATCGTGTTCTTTTCTCGAAAGAAGATGTCGAAGCGAAAATGCTTTTCTCTGCCGAAAAGGCTGAAATCATCGAAAAGCTAAAGAATTTCATGGCACTAAAGTTGATCTTGCTAAATCTTTGGGTATAGCTTATTCAACTTTGCAAATGATTTTAAAACAAGAAGCTTCAGTAGAACTAAACGCTGAAAAACTCGGAAAATATGCCAAGAAGAGAAAAACCCTTAAAACATCTCCGTATGATGAGTTAGAAAACATTTTAATGAACTGGTTCCAGGAAGCCAGAGCAGCAAAGATTCCTATAAATGGATCCATCTTGAGAGAAAAGGCGCTTGAAATTGCTGAAAATCTTAAACTCCAAGACTTCAGTGCATCAAATGGCTGGATCGATCGATTAAAAAAAAAGAAACAATTTATGCTTCAAATCTATCTGTTGCGAATCCGATAGTGTGGATATGACAATTGTGTAACAGTGGAACGAAGAAATTCTGCCAAATTTATTAAAAAGCTATAATCCAAGTGACATATTTAATGCGACGAAACGGAATTGATTTTCAACCTAATGCCAAACAAAACATTGACAATTAAAGGTGAAAATTGAAATGGAGGAAAGCTTTCAAAAATGCGCTTTACTGTTTTGCTCTGTGCAAATGCCGATGGAAGTCAAAAGTTAACGCCTCTTGTGATCGGTAGAGCAGAGAAACCATGGTGTTTCAAAAATATCAAAAGTTTTTCTACCGATTACACTTCAAACAAAAAATCATGGATGACGCAAGCATTATTTAAAAATTTTCTTTGAAAACTGGATAAGAAAATGAATTTTCAAAAGCGCCACATAATTTTATTCCTAGGCCAATGCACTGCTCATTTAAACCTTAAATTGAAAAATGTGCATTTTCCAGCTAACTGTACAAGCAAACTTCAACCACTGGATTTAGGAATTATACGATCATTTAAAGAGAGTTGCCGGAAGCAACTGGTTAGAAAATCTCGAATGTTTCTTGATTCTTGTGACTTTCAGGATGCTTCTAAGGCAAAAATTAATGTTCTTGAGGCTCTTAATTTGATATCTTCAGCTTGGGACAGTGTCGACCGAAAGTGCGTTATCAATGGATTCATTAAAGCAGGATTTTCAATATCGGAGGAGGAGAGCACTGCTGTTTTGGAAGAAGAAGGTAGCGTGTTTGAAGTTGAGGACCTTCCGGAAGTCAATGATGCATACATCAACTGTGACACAGATATCATTACTTCAGAAATCCCTTTCATAAGTGATTTAATGCCGGATTCCGACGATAGTGCTGATGACGATGAAATAACAGAAGATGTGCCAACATCTGATCAAGCAATACAAAGCATAAAAACTCTAAAACAATTTTTACTTGCAAATGTAAATCAAGAAGTAAATTTGCAAAACATTGTTAGTATTGAACGAGCTGTATACGAAATTGTAGCTAGAAACGAAAAGCAAGTAAAGATTACTCATTTTTTCCACTAATTTAACTGGTAGGAGTCAATTTTTAAAAATATGCATAGATTTTTCTTAACCCTGATTTTACATTATTCCGCTTCGAGCTTTTTTTATCGCTAGTCCGACAGAAAACGTAAAATCGGGGTTTCACTGTATGTATATATATATATAAGTTCAAAATGAAGATAAAACAAAGAAAAATAATAGACATATGAAAAAAGGGGGGAATAAGTAAAAAAAATAACAAACAGTTAAAAAAAAAAAATAGGATGAAATTTAATTTTAAAAAAACGGAAAAAAAAGATATAATCTTTTCATCAGCCCACACGATTATATCCGCAAAACAGAGTGCTTTCTGATATTGTATCAATAAAGCAAAGCAAAATATATTAATACAATAGTGTGAGGAGCACTCACAAAAAAATTTTTTACAAAAATTACAGCAAATAAAATAAAACACAAAAAGTAAATATAAGTAAAAATAACATGTAAAAACAGAAAATAAAATAAAATGAAAAGAAAAAACAGTATAAAAAATGGACTATAAAGCGAGTAGCGAAATCAGATCTACTTACATGGACGGGAAATTTTTCGAGAATGATTTAAAAATGTTTTCGCAGAAAGATTGCCAGATTACAAAATATGAAAACAGAAGTGCAAATTTGTGCAAAATGCAGAATGTTTGTGCAGAAATGAAGAAGTGCAAAATGTTTAAAAGGTCCATTTTCCATGTAGTCCAAATCCATGCAGTTATTTGATTTTTTTTTATCTTGACATTTCTACATCGTTTTTCAAATTCTGATATTTTGAAAATAGACACAACAAGATTCGAATTTTAGATATCACTTTCTGAAACACTCAATTCATGCTGATTCTAATGTTTCTGATTTCAGAACACTTACGATTGTTCTTTTGGTGGTTATTTATTGTTTTTTCAGCCATTCCACACTATTTGTTTTCAGATTCTGATATTTTTATATGATATCATTAAGATACACAAATTTGAGTAATCACTTTTTCTTGACAATTCCATCATAAATCTCCGTCATTTTTTTAATCTTTGCTTAGCAGTTATCAATTATTTTTTTAATATGCCATTTCGACTCTGAAATTTTGAACTAGAGTTATCACGTTTTGATGTGAAGAACATATAAAACTGCAAGCCAAATGTTGCAAGCATTAAAAAGATGATGGAAATATAATGAGTAACATTTCTATTCTAAAACAAAAAAGAGACTAGTGTACATATTCAAGGTCTATGATGTAAATATATGAAAGGTAAATATTACCATTCCATACAAAAGATCCAAAGCTCTTAATCTAATGGATTCATCTTTATCATCCAAACATTGAAGTACTAAGTCTTTATGTGCCTGGACACTCTTAGGATGAGTTTTTAGAATCTTAGACATTGCCAAAAGACCCAAATACTTCACTAAAAAAGCAAGACAGTTAACCATCAATTTCAGCAGAAGATTCAAATAATATATAACATAATATATAATAGTATAATTAAATAGCATCACATAAAATATTTTTACAGATTAAGTGTCCAGTACTCATGTAAGAATAAAAAAAAATTTAACTTTATACAACAAAGTCTGATATAAAAAGTAGATGCAAACAGTAACATTATATGAAAATGATTTATTTACAATTTTTGTGGAATATATTTCCACAAAATATGAATTTTAATGCTCATTAAGAAAGAAAATAATTAAATAAAAATCTAACATAAAAATATATCAATATCTAATTATAATGGAAATTAAAAAAAACTCACTTTAACCTGAATAAAAGCTTTAAGAACACTTATGAAAAATGAAGTTCAATAATTCTGGAAAAAATATTAATAATTTGTTTAACCATCACTGTTTCTAACTTTTCAAATAAGATCCTTATTTTCCTATCTATAATAACTCTTAGGAACAGTAATACCATATTTTCATGGTATATGAATAAGAAAATGGCATAGGAACAGTAATATATATACAACTATGAATTTTATTTATACAGATCATTTTATTTCTAAAATACACAATTTATGAATATTGAAATTTTTTAATTGTTACTACATGTTTACAATGTAATCATGCATTACTTAAATATTTTAAACAAGTGCACACACATATAGTACACTTTCTCAATAAAAGCAACTTTTTTTTACATTAAAAATTTTGTACATCATAAAAAAAAAACAATGTCTGCTGAAAAATATAACCAGTATTAAATTTGATAGTAATGTAATGTTTATGGAACCAAATACAGTTTACACAGTGAGTTTCCGTTTTTCTTCAGAAAAAAATTAAATGCTTCATGTTTGCATCATATTCAGCAATATTTTAAAATCCATTTTATTATAATTTAGCCTTTATTAGATTCACTAAGCCTTTTCCAACATAACATATGATGTTATGAATTTTGTTTACACTGAAGAATGAAAGGACAACCTATTTGCATATGCAATAGATTTTAATTGCACATGCAATAGATTAAAAGTATAGTAACACTTAAAGCAAATACAAGAGGCGTTTACTTACAGTTTTGATCTGAATCTTCAATCAATATACGCAGTTTTTGCACACAAAGCTGAATGAAATAAGATATATTTTTGAAATATGTAACACACAAAAATATAACAGAGATACTAACTTTTAAAAATAGCTATCAGTAATCAGAAATGCAAACAGCATGGAAATAAACAGTAAGCATTTACAAAATTAAAATTAGTATAATTTTAAGGAGTATGATTCTATGTAGGTATATAATATTAATCAAATTATGTATAAATTTATAGTAAATAAAGGACACTTAAGTAAAGGTACCAAATTAAAAAAATATACAACACTGAAATTTTATACTTTTATAAAATGTTAAATTTAAATTGTTTACATGGAATCAATGTTCAAGTTTTTGGTTAAAATAGAAATAACCCTTATTGCTTTTTCAGCACCTTTTATTTGAACCACTAAAATTTTCTTTCACACAGCAACTCAAACATGAGTGCATGTTTTTTTAAATTTTATGAGGAGAAATGATTAAGTTTCAGTTCTTATAATTGTGCAAAAAACAGTTCAATTTTTTTCTCACGAATTTTTAAATTTTTTTCGCTTTTTGATGCAGAATTGCTGTGTGAAAAAAGCAATAAAATTGAAATTAAAAGGTGGTAGAATCATTAATTGTAGAAGGTCTAATAAACTTTATAATGATTCCAATTTATAAATCTTCTTTAATAAATTTGTGATAGGACTATTTTTTTCTGTTAAAGGAAAGTATTCATGCTTAAAAAAAAGGACAATAATTCTTAAATAATAAAAGTTGTAGTTTTGTTATGAGATCTTAACATTTTTCTTGAATCTTCAAATATTTATAACTATCCTTCTTATTTGAAAAGCTGCAACCCAGAAGCATATGGACAATCGATTGCATGCAAAACTTTTTGTGTGATTTTTGCTTTTAAAGATATGATCTGTAAGCATTTTCAACATTTCATTTTTTATACTTATCCAAGAATAAACAGGAAAAAAACTAATTATACAATCAAGGTAAAACTCTCACTTAATAAAAGAAATGAAAATAAACAATCATAATCATTCTTTTGAATCACCTTTTGAAGAATGAGATTAATTGTTTTTTATTATTTCTTGTTGCTTTAAATTTCTTTTTATTCTTTAATTTATTGTTTCTACTATTGTTTAAGGTGCAGGGGAAAAAATATTGATTAGACATACATTACAAGCTTTCATAACTTTCGTTAGTTAAAGGAAAAAAACTTAATTTTAAACATTAAAAAATTCTTGAAAAGACTCAACCGGATATGAATAATTCACACGAACAAACAAGCCTTGTTCATGGAAAATTTTTACCATTGTGGAAAGATTTTTAATAATACTCATTATTAAAAATAAGAGAGAGAGACCAGGGGCAATATTTCAAAATCAGAGAACTCTATTTCTTCAACTCAACATTATTTATTAACTCAAATATTTTGTATAATAAATCATAATATAAAAAGAAATTATTTTGCATAATATATAAATCAAGGAAATATGCATGTGATTCCAAAATTGCATAACTATGAAACCCTGCAGTATCCCATACTCTGATTAAAAAAGAATTGTGATTTTTAAAAATAAAAATTCTAACATGTCATGTTACTTGCAAATTGCAGAAACATGAAGAATCTGCTTTATCTGTAAATCAAGAAAATATAAATCCCAATGTGAAATTTTAAAGCCCATGAATATAAATTGTGATAACTTAATTAAAAATTGCACAAGCATGAATAACAAAGTGCAATTTACACCTCACAAAAAATGAAAGTAGAATAACCATAAAAGAATTTCTATGAGTCTGAAAATTTTAATCACAAGGAAAATCATAAGTAGGATGAACATCCAAAAACACGGATATAAGAAGGTAATAATGAAACAAAAATAAAACATTAATTTGTACCTGAATCGAAGCAGAATGGTTTGGCATGCCAGATGATATTGAGATTAAAACTGAAACAAATACAAAAAATATTTATGTATCTTTATCTTAAAACATATGCAAATACATTACATAAAAAATACTGTATTAAGGATCCATTTCCTGTAAATGTGTTAAAGCGAAACATTCTTATGTTTTAAAATTATTTCTGATTAAAAGAACACTTATTAAATTATCGCATATTTATTTAAAAAAATTAATGCCTCTGGAATTTTCAATACGAATTCAGGGTTNTCAAGTTTTTCAAGGACCTAAGACGTTTTTCAAGCACTTTCAAGGACCTAAATTTAGCAAAAAAAAATTCAAGGACTTTCAAGGACTCTCAAGGACCGTGGGAACCCTGGAATTGTATCAGGAAAAAAATTAAACAGTGCAAGATATATTTTGAAATACCAACTTACCAGCAATAACTGTATTAATGCATTCATAAAGGAGAGACATGGCTGATGTGCTAAAAAATAAAATAAAAAATTACAAAAGTAATCTTTACAGGAAAAAAAACATAAAAGCAGCCTTTAAATTAAACGTAAATAGTTAGAAATAAAATAAATAATACTGCGGGAGAAATAACTTAGTTTATTAAGCTTTTTATAAAGTTTATATAATAATAAATAAAAAGTACTATATAATAGATAAACAATTATTTAAAAAAAACTCATTTAAGCACAGTTCTGATTAAGAATCTTGATATGCAACAAATAAAAATTTAGTACTGCAAAACCGACAAACATAATATTAAACAATGTGCAGAAATTTAAACAATATGCTTTATTCATCAAGATATAATTTCACTAATTAAATGTTATGTAAATACTACAAGAATGAATTAAAATACACAAAATTGGCTGATTATTGACAATTGCTTTTAATGAAGGAAGAGAACCGAGAAAGATAAAATTAGTTTTAAACATCATAAATTGTCAAGTAATTTTTTTTTAACAGGTTTAAAAAATTGTCAAGCAAAGTTTTTCTGGACATTTTGAGCTAGTTGCAACTTTAAAAAAAGAAAAGAATAAAACAAGCAACAAATGTTTCCTTTAAGAATCAAGAATTTTATACATTGTAGTTCTGGAGATTAACAACTAAGTTCCTGCTGTTTATTAGGCAGTTTAAATTTTCTATTGTATTTTTAGTTCTTGGGCAAGTAATTTTTTATTCTAAATTTTCCAATAATTTAGTTAGATAAAAAGTGGGTGAAAAATAAACAAAAGAAAGATTATTATAAGAATTGTTATTTTGGCTTTCAATAACGAAAAAAGCAATTAAAAAATATATAAATGTTGCGTCTGTATAAAGATATAAAATGTATCCATCATTCCTAATTTGTTCAATGCATGAAAACAGTCAACTTGTAAAAACAATTCTTTCTAATCATGCTATCAAATACTGTAAAATAAAAATTACTTCCCTGTATTAATTAAAATTATTAAACTGCTTACTGAATAAAAAATCAACACTGTTGCAGAAAATAAAAATTAGATTTAGCTGAAAAAAATCATATAAAAAGTTTAATTCAAACTTCAATAATTATAAAAAAATAAATAGATAGATAGGAGAGAATGAGAAAAAAACTGAGTACCTCGATAATGGCAAAATTAATTTTGCTTTCTAGTGGACAGACTCTGAATTATAATCTATTAAGTAAGAAGGAGCTAACATATTAGTCTGTTGTTGTTAAATTCATGGTCTCTATATAGATTAGTTTGTTTTGCTGTGTCGTTACAGTTATAAAAAATCATTTCAGCCAGGTTATTATACGTTTACTAAGGATTCATACCCTAACAAACAATAAGGATTTAGTCTAGTAATAGCATGGTTCTACTTTGTTCAATAACATCTACTTTCAAGGCAAGACATGGTATGGTAAATTTGGGTATGACCAGGTACTAAAATACATGGTCACTAAAATAGAGGGGAAAAAATTTCTGATACTCCAAAATGTTTACTTTTTCTGATGGGAAGCTGAAACAGTTATAAATTTTATTTTAAATAAGTACTTAAATTAAAATCTGTTTCAAAAGAATATTTTTGTTAGCAATTTAGAATTTTGCGAATCAGAATTTATTTAGACTTAATCGGGAAGATCGTCCAAATAAGATTACCAACTATAGTACTTCTTTTAAATTTAGCTTGCATTTCTTTTCCTGGTAACACTCTTTTTGAAAATCACTCTCATATAACTCATGTGATTACACTAACAATAAACAGGATAAAAAATGATTTTTCAACCAAGTTATTCAGAAAAACAAAGCTTCTCACAGGCTTCAAAGGAACAAGGTGCTTTTAAAATATAAGATGAGTAAGCTAGAGCAATTTTAAAAATATTTAATAATTTTATAATAACAAGTTTATGATCTAAATTTTGAATTTTTTCCTTTAAGTTTCTTTCTTACAAAACTAGTAAAATTTCAATGGTTATTTTTGATTATTCAAATTCCGACATTGAAAAAACAAAATTTTTTTTTTATATATAAAATACACAGATTCTAACCAGCTGAGAACAAAATCAAACTGAACTGGCAATTGAAGCAAGCATGAAACAGCAGACTTGTTAAAAATTATAAAAAATTATAACACTAATGAGACAAAATTGTCTATCTAAAGGAAAAAATTAAATTTTTTTTGTATAATTTTTTACCTTTGAAAAATTCTTCAGAATTGAACATAAAAAAATACAATAAGTAAGAAAACATATAAGTTTTTCAAGCACCTTATAAAACAATAAAAACAACATTGACTTTTACAAAAGATTTGATTGAAAGGTAGGTTTATAAACAAAATTTTTTACAAATATTTACATTTTTTAAGATTAAAAAGCTAAAAATATTTGTAAAAAAAATAATAAGTGCAATTTCAAAATCCTAATTTGCTGCAATTTAGTGAATTTCACATATGTTCTGAATCAAACAGTTTCAAGTAAAAATTACATAATCAATAACAATAAAGTTGGTAAAATTTTAATTAATTGCTTATAAAAAATACAATATAAATAATTTTAAAATGAAGGGTATGAAAGTTTATCACTTCACTCATTATCAAGTAGGAAAAATGCTGATAATTTTCTTTTTTTTTTAAATACATATTTAAACAAAGACAAGAACCAGAAAAAACCGTGTGTAAAAATGGAATCAAACAGAAAATGGAACATGAAAACAGGATAAAGATAAAAGAAAAAACACCAATATTTTTAGATAAAAAAATCAACAGGGCTCTCAACAGTCTTTCAAGTTAAAAAAAAAAAAGGGGGGTAACGGGGATAAAATGGTAAAAAATGAGACCAAAAGGACCTGAGAAAGGGAACCTAAGTTTTTTTCTAAAAAATATTCTGCAAAAATAACTTTCAGTAATATAACTAGAAGTCTATACCTCTTGTTTGCAATAGCCTCTACTAAAGACTACTCAAATGAAATACTGCACAATTTCTGTAGAACAGCAATAATAGCTTTTTTTTTTTTTTTTTTTTAAAACAATTTACGCTCACTGATGCAAAAGTACTTTACAGTAAACTTTACAAAAGTACGAACAGCAATAAAACTGAAGTGTCATCTAGGAACAAGTAACAACACACCTAGCCAGATATCTGATTTGAACTTCATTATACTACTTGAACTATACTTTAAACCACTATACTTCATTTTTTCTCCAGAGTGAAGAATATGAAATTTGCAAAACACAGAAGAAGGGGAAAGAGAATTGTAAGGGGAACCAAAGAAACAGAGGTCAACATTTTCAAAAAATCACTCCATATTAGTTTAAATAAATATCAATAAAGAGCCCTGTATTAAAAATAATCCCAAAAAAAAATTTTCTTAATGGAAAAAGACTGGTTTTGTCAAGTAATCTTCTTAAAAAATAGATATAGAAACATTAAAGAAATAGTCAACAGTGTTCTTTTTCACCTTCATAAAAAATTTTTACTAAAATAAATTATAAACTAGAATAAAATTATTACCATAAAAAGTTGAATTTATAATGAAAACATTCAAATAATTAGTAAAAGTTTTAATGCAGACAAAAAAAAAACACCTTAATAACTTTTTTAATGATCGGATTTCATGTGTTAAGACTCGATGTTAATGATTCAAGAAGCTACCCTTAATTGTGCTAATTAATTAGTACAGACAATATCAGAAAAAAAAAATTTTGTTTTGGGTTGATTTGGATTGATGACTGGAAATATGTCCTAATAGGCAAGAGAGCATTTCAAATTTTGGGTCCCTTAATGTTAATTTCTCTTTTCGCATAGTTTGCCATGTCTAAGGAACTAATAAAACAAGACAAACTGTAAAAAAAAAAAATTATCTTTTCAGACATGAAAGAGGACAAAAATAAACAAATCTGAACTTTTACAACACAGACACTGGGAAGTGGGAGGGAGTTTATGTAATACTGTAATATCAATGAGAAATATAAAAATATAACTTCTAACTCTGGTGTGAGATTTTTAGGCAGAAGCATTTAGACAGTGAAATTTAAATTTTTCTTAAATATAGTTTAAAACTTCTTTGGCTACTACTATGTTAAAGAACATTACGCAATATATAAGGCTTTATAATCATCATTTTAAATTAATTGCCAGTCAATCATTTTAAATTAAAACAATTGCTGACTTTCACCTTAATATCTTCTGATTGTTAAAAATAGTTTTAGTCACTTTGACTGTTTTATTTAACCAATCAAACTCGAAATTTATTTTCTTCAGCAGCATGGATCGTATGCACTTTGTGATCGTCTATCAAAGTGACTTCCATCGTTAAAATAAATTCATCTTATGATGCACCACGTGAAAAGAACACAAGTAAATGAAAAACAAACATATGCATGGACAAATGCAGGAACGGCCAAAAATAAGAACTAGAGGAGTCGTGAGAACTATAATAAACAGATGTGCAAATTCAATGTGCGTCGCATCAAGGAGGAATACCCCAGATCAAATATCGGCGGCTGAAACGAGACTGCTTAGAAGTCAAGGATCTCACTTTTTCTGCTCTATATCAGAAGTAGCAGTTGTCAAGGCAACAGCGAACCTGCTGCTCCACCTAATTTTTTCTGAGGATCATTCTTTCTTATGAGGTTACTGCAGGGGGGAAAAGTCTGTGCTCCACGAACAACTATCGTTTGAGTGGCTTGGGTTTTGGTAGTTATGGGGGGGGGGTAGTTATTCTGTAATAGTTGGATCCTCAAAAACATTAAAATTTTTGGAACATTGTCGAAAATTTTAAAAATTGGGAGAAAAAAGTGAATTTCGGTTTTTTCGCAAATGTCTTTTATCCCTGTTTTTTTAGTAAGAATTTGTTTGTAACTTCAAATATTGTCTGCCTTAAAAAATTAGCATATTTAAGGTTTTACCCCTGTGTCATTAAAATTTAGCTCCATGCGTTGATTGTCATTCATTTTTCAAGATCAATGTATCTTTACGAAATAAAAATTTATACTGAATGGACAAGCACATTTTTCAGCATGTGCAGAAATAGAATCAGGGGTCTGTCTAGGTTTTTATGAGAGGAAAATTCAGGAAAATTTAGACATAATTTGTGAAAATTAAAAATTATATTAAAAAATCAACACAAAAATATAGTAAAGTAAGAAGATATCTTCACAAATTGTCACTGCAAATATAAATCCCTTATGACTAGTAAAATTTTTATATATTTTTCCCCATACATTCAAAGATAATTTTGCTATTGTAAAATTTTGGGCTTAAAATTGTATCCAAATTCAAAAATCCATAAAAATCATTGTCCATTGTTAAATTTCAACTTTAATTTTAAAAAAAAACATGCATTAGCAGTACTTGCACTAAAAGTTATTTTCATTATGAGAACATTTCCCTTGGGCCCATATAGAAAAAAGATTCACAGACAAAAAAAATTTCATACAAAAATAAAGGTCTGTTAGAATAAATTTAGAACAATGTTCGAATGTTTAGAATAATGTTTCTCAATAACGAATTTCAACTTCGTGTTAAGTTTACAGAGGAAGCACCTCGTTGTTTTATTCTAAAAAAAAAAAAACTCTGCGGAAAAAAAACTCGCTTTAATATGGCATAAACAACTGTTTAGGCTTACCATGCAGCTACCTATTCGTACATGTGGAATTAACCAGGGAATTATCATTTCTTATGGGGATACAAAAACAAATATTTAAGAGGCGGGGAAGAGAATCTTTTTTAAAAGCATTTTGTGAAACTACCATTTTTCCTAAAGTTGAAATTGTGAAGATAAGGCTAAACGGTAGTAAATTTGTCCTGGATAAACCCCTGAGAATATCAAACAAAAACCCACAAAAAACATTATCAAACAATAGAACGAAACCAAAAATGCTAAAATAATGAATTTAAATTAAGGCAACCATAGCCTATTTAAAGAAATAAAAATTATTTAAAGGAATTTATCATAACTAAATAAGTTAATATAAATCTTATGAATCATTGCATAACTAAATAAGTTTATAGCTATGCTTACTGATTTGATTAGGTTAGAACAAAATCAGCAGTTCAAGAATATCACCTAATAAGATAATAAACAATAAGCTAGCAGAGGAACTGAAAAGGCTTCTGATGGATCATTTTTGCTTACTCTTGTATTGAAAACATCCATCATGGGAACATTGATATTTGTCCCAAATTCAGTAATATGACAAAAAAAGGTAGAGAGCCTCTAATCGATCTGAGTAAAAAGACATCATACATCATTCTTGCAGATTTTTTTAAATAAATATAGAAATAAACAATTCAAATTATCTTTCAATTCAAATCAGCCTTTTTTTTTTTGCAATCAAAATCTGAGTTTCTACTAACAGACTAATGGCTGAATTTAATTAACAACTTTTACACAAAATAATCACTTGGACTAAAATAAATATTAATTATAAAAAAGTATTCAATCCTTATCTTTTTGTTATGTATTATGTTTTTCGTTTGGCATAATTTTACAATAAACTATAAAAGTCTGACAACAATATGAAAAATTACTTTTCAAACAAACAAACAAAAAGTAATAGGAATAACAGTTAAACAAGCCCTTTTATAATTGTAGAGGTTCCTCTCATTTGATAAATTTTAGACTTATACTAATTTATACTCATGCTTTTAAAAGAAATTTTATGCAGTCTTAACTTTAAATAGTGTTTCATTCAGAGTTTTCACTTTGTTTAAAAAAATTCCAACTTCATGTTGAAAATCGTATACTGTTGGGAATAAAATAAATCACACACACTGTTGGGAAATAAATAAATCTAGAATGGGGATCAAAGTTTAAATCATAACCATGAAATAGACATAAAACTAATTTGAGTTTGATTTATAATTTTTAAAACTTTTTTCAAGATTTTAAGTCGCACTATTTTCCTTATATTTCTTCACCTTATAAAGACTTAAAAACAGGTAATTTACCACATTGGAATCACTTTGCCAGAATTCGAGCTTAAATTCTAAAAGAATTTATAAAAAACTGAAACCTATTACCAATAATAAAAGTGTTTGAAAAATTAGATTTATCATATGGTATAACTTTATATAAACATTGTTCATCAAATAGAAAATTTTTATTTAAAAAATTGGCATGCTAAAATGAGTAAATTTAAAAGAAAATTATATGAGAAATAACTTTTATAATTTATATTCACTAGATAACTGTAGCAATTTCACAAAAAACTCATGAAAGATTTTTTTTAAGAAAACACTTACAGTGGTGATCTGGAACAAAAAAAGACAATATATAATAATGAAGAATTCATGCTTCATGAACACAATTTATACATAGCTCAAATAGTTTATATGCAGAGAATAAATTTTTATTAGCTAAAATTATAATAAGAAGCACAACTAGCAGCAAAATAAAAAATAATAACAGTCAAAATATATATCATTGCAAAATTAAAATAATAATTGCAATAATTAAAAAAACATGCAAATACAAACTTAAAAGCATTTACCTGTGGATTAAATTAGTGAGTGGTTCAATCAACTTTTTACCCAGTCTAGGTTCTAGAGGAGTCAGGGCACCAAACTGCAAAAGGGGGAAACCTATTAGAAGGTTTTACTATACTCTGACCCCTACTGGACAAACGACAAAGAACTTATCCCAATAACAGTCTAAGACTATGAAACATGATACTTTGGGGGAAATTTCATATTAATAATTACCATTTTAGGAAAATCATATCTGCATTGCATTATACAGTACAAGAGATCACCAAATAAGGGAACAAAAAAACAATAGAAAAAGCAGATATGCTATAAATAATAATTTTACTTTTTTTGCATACTGATAAATAAAATGAAACAAAGCAACAAGAAAAGCTAGCATCTATACAAATGAAATAAAAATGCAGTCAAATGCAGTGCATTTACGACAAACACAAACCAATCTGATAAATTAATTAAATGTAAAGAAGAGTTGTTGAAAAAAAACAATAGAAGATAGAAGTAATATGAAAAAGCATGCACACCAAGTTTCATAACAATGAGTGCGTGGTAAAAGCGAAAGATAACGAAATGAAAAAGGATGTCATTGGAAAGATATTTCATTACCTGCGAATTATATTAATGAGAGGTTGACTCAATTTTCGACCCAGTCTGGGTTCAATGTAGGTCAGAACAGCAAACTGGAAGAGGGAGAGAATGACTGAGGAGAGTGGAATTGGAAAAGACATTCACACATGCCCAGAGCAGAAGGGACAGCAAAACATGCATATAGATATGCGAACTAAATGTTAAAGTATTAATAACATAGTACAGCAGACGATATACAAGTATGATGCAAAAAGCTCTTACATTTATTTAAATGTAATTTTGAAAAACCTTTTTTAAAGATCTAATGATTTTAATAGATAATACAAATTATTATATTAAATAATAAAAACAAAATTGAGTTTAAGACATGGGAAGTAAAATTCAGTAGAATTTTTATCAAAAGCAACTGATATGATGCAAAATAATGAGAAAAAAAAATTCTATCGTCAACTAAATATTATAATTCAAAATTAAATGAAAAAAATCAAACAACAGTTTAGTGATTAAAAGAAATAAGATTAATTATATACATATCATTGAATAAACATTCCAGAGAAAATATTCAAGAAAAGTACTTAATTAAATCATACACAAAACAATAAAAACTTTTGAAGTTTCTTTAGTAATACAATTTTGTTATTAAATTTCAAGGTCAGTTGGATTAATTATGGAAACAGATCAAATTTCTGAATGAAAATTGTTTCGAACAACTCAAAAAAAAAAGGTTTTTTAAGAACAGCCACAGGCCAAATTAATGCTTTAAAAATATTAAAAATTAGCCAGTTAAGTAAAAGCCGGTATAGTTGCAAAATCAAAATGAAGAAAAACTGCTGTTAAGAATGAAACACAATTCATTTATCTTGAATATACTACTTAAAAATTATAAATTATGATAATTTACATCCAACTATATTGTAATTAATATTTATAAAAATTATTACAAAGAAAATAAGTGCCTATTGAAATAAAGCTATTAGAAAGTAAAGTAACACAATATACACCAATATTTTTCAAACAATTCTTAGGGAAACACAAAATAAACATCACATGAATATGTAAATGTTCCATAATACAAAGTAAAGCAAAAGTTTGTAATTAAATTTAATACAGAGCAATACAATAGATGGATTTTCAAAATGTCAGGTAAAGTGCTTTAGATTCATTAACTGAATTCAGGGTTTTATAATATATGGGCAGGAAGAAGTACACTAAAACCAAACTGCATTACTAAATCAATGTAAATATATCAAATGGTGGCAAAAACTCAGTGTATTAAAAAAGTGAAGAAGACTCGGTAAAGTAAGAAACTGCTTTAAAATTTTGCTGTGGTAATTTCTGGTAGAAAGATTACACCATCATACATGGCATTTTTAAACATTTTTTTATATTTTTAGATCAGGACCCTTAAGTAACAAAAAGTTTTAGCCAAAAAGCAAATACTGCACCACTTAAAATGAACTCCACTTCACTTTTCTTATTTCTGCCTTCACAAAGTTGACGCTTAATTAATTGCATAATTGCAAATATTTCCGAAATTAGGAAACTATTCGCAGTTACTCAGTTAAAGACAATGTAATCACTATGAAAAATAAATGAAAGTAAAATTTCGATTGATGCATGGAATGAAAAGATCTTTTCTAATTTGCGAACAATTTGAAAATAAAATATTTACAATCAAAATTTAGATAAAGGGAAAAAGAGAAACATATCGCTCCAATTTAATTATTTTAAAAATAATTTCTGATTTCATAACACATTTGTCGACTAGTTGCAAAGATCACCATTAATCACAAACTTGTCTTATCAAGCCATATTTTAATAAAAACAAAAATAATAGTTAAAAATAAGGAGATAATACAACTTTCAGAGCAAAAAATCTGACATTGGTTTACAATGTCAAAATCTTCTAAAAACATTTATGTTTTAATAAATCCACAGTAATCTAGAAATTCTTGCACAAAGCTTGCGGGAAAATGAAATCATTCTATATGCTGCACCTTCAGATATCCCACATATGGTGATAATTTAATATTTAAATATAGATAGGCCACAGCCTATCTAGTGGAAATTACTGTAATTCATTGCAACCAATTTCAAATATAAAAATGATTAAATTGAACACAGCATAAACACACAAACAAATTTTTAATACACTGAATAACAAATGGGTAAAATATTATTGCCACAACAATTTTACTTCAATGATATAGATTTTGTTCTTGAAAATAGCACTTGGTACACACTGACAACTCCTGCAATTTTAAAATTTTTCTAACAAACCTGGGATCTTTAACCAAGATTAGACTTTTAACTGGATATACTACAAACTTTTGCCTCATTTGATGTATGAATACCATACGTAGAATATATCACATTAAGACTATACTCTATTTTTAAACTTTAAAAAAAAAATGAATGTTGTTTAGAATGAAAGTTCTAAATTGAAAAAATGAAAGGGAGAATTATTTTTTGACTGCTTATGAATTGCTTAACATGATTTATAGGATGAATTTGATGTTTAACTTAACTCCAATAAAATTTTCTGATGAATTTTCAGTTTTTATGCATAGATTTAAAAAAAAAATCAGTAATAATATTTTTATCTTCTAAACAAACCAAAAAATCACTTATATTAGAAAGTCTTGTTTCTAGCTCGTTGTACTAGCTAAGTGTTGCAACACATAAATAAATAGATGACAAAACTATTTACATTTCATTTTCAATTTAACAAGATGAAATTTAAAAGTCATACATTATCAAGCCTACTTTGAACGCCATATTAATGAAGCATAATTTGTTAGTGAACTTCACTTTAATATTTTTTATGTTTACATTGACCTTAAAATTAGCATAGCAAAACAAGTGCCAAAATAATTTTTCCTAAATTTAACAAACAAATGCAGTGAATTCTGTTTAATTAGAACTGTTTAATTAGATAAACAGTTCTAATTAAAAAGAATTCACCACATTAGTTTGATTGTTGTATTTGTTCTGTTTCATTAGATAATTCAAAATATTAGATAATCTGAAAAAAACAACACTTGTCCTATAACCTATGAACTCATACTAAAAATAATTTATTGTACTGTAGGAATGTTTATATAAATATTCAGATTGCTCAAAGCAAGCGTGTGAAGATTTGATTTTATAAGGTACGCATGAAAAAAGTCAGAACTAAATTTATGGTTTCACAATTATATTACTACAGTTTAAGTAAGTTTTCTGAAAAAAGTCATAGTAATGAAAAACATTTATTTAAATTATAACATTAAAAGCATCTGTGAAAAATTAAATAGTTAAAATAACTTATCTTTCTTTACAAGTTTTAATGAGAATTTTTTTCATACAAGATATATGGGGGGGAGGGGAAAGTTTACTTAAATAATACACTAAAACATTTTACTGTATTATTTTTAAGGCAGAACACTTTAAAAATTATTTTATATTCTTCCAAAAAAACTCGCATAAATATACTAACTAAATCAAACTCTGCACAGTAAAATAATATAAATAAAAACAAAAACATAGAGAGAAACTCGGCAACCTGTAACTTAAACCAACTCACCAACTTTATAATTTTGATAAGCATCCAGTTGTTTGAAGAACTTGTCATTAACTTAAAAAATACAGGAGCTAATGAAAGATAGTTTTTAGGATTTTTTCGAGCCAGTTCACATATAACATTAACAGCTGCAGACTGAACACCTAGAAAAAATTTTTATAATGATGAATTAAGAAAATGCTATTAGTAAAACAAAAAGGTATTAAACCTAATTTTGTACTCTACCAGATATGATGTGTGGAAGTAATAAACTTTCATGACAATAATTAAATGAAACTTAGGGCAATTTTTTAACGCAGTTTAATAAAATCTTGATCACTCATTCGAAAATCATGTTTCACGGTTAATGTGCTTATGGTTTATACCAGGGGGGGCCAACCTGCGGCTCTTTGGTAGATTATTTGTGGCTCTTGATAAATTAACCTGAGTCACCCTTTCCTTTTTGTGCTATTATATTTTTAAAAATTATTATCGTTCCGGATGTGTTTCAAAATGTCTTTTAAATTACTGACAACAAAAAGACTAAGTGCAATGTTGTAACAAATCGCATTTCCGTCCAAGTTAAGAATGATATGACTCGTCGAAAGCTGCGCGAACGAACATAAACAGTAGTGTAATCGACCAATGCAATAGATTTCAATATTCGGAAAAACGTACTTAAATTAATCATTTTATTCCACGTTAAAATTCGTGAAATCCAAACACTGATCAATATTAACTAACTAGCATCTCAAAGAAATACTGAGAAGTGCTGTCACCAATTATTCACCAAATTTTAAAGAATTATCAAGAAAAATGCGTTTAATTTTTAATATTTAAATTTAATACACATATTTTGTACTTTTACTTATATGTTTTCAACAAATATAATTTCCGTAAAAAAAAAATGTTTAATACCTTTTAAATACATATTTAATACGAGGGTTGTTTTTTTTTTCAACCTCCGATGGGCTGTAAAGAAAAGACCGGTCAATATAAAAAAAAGATTTTATCACCAAAACTTATGTACAATACAACTTATTTCTCTACATAATCACCTTGACGATTTAAGCATTTGTCATATCTGTGAACAAGCTTTGCAATACCCTCTTCATAAAATGTAGCCGCCAATGATTGAAAGTGAGTTGTGACGGTTTCTTTGAGCTCCACGTCAGTTTGGAAGCGCTGCCCTCCAAGCCACTGCTTCAGTTCAGGGAAAAGATGATAATCACTCGGTGCTAGGTCGGGACTGTATGGTGGGTGATCGAAAATGTCCCATTGAAATTGCTGAAGGAGTCGTTGGGTTACACGAGCGCTGTGGGGACGGGCATTGTCCTGTATCAGAACAATTCCAGAAGTCAGATTGCCTCTTCGTTTGTTTTGAATAGCTCTCCGTAAGCGTCGCAAAGTTTCACAATATAAATCTGCATTAATTGTTGTTCCAGGCTGCATAAACTCCACAAGCAACACACCTTTTTGGTCCCAAAAAACAGTTGCCATAATCTTATGGCTGTTGAAGGTTCGTTTGAATTTTGTGGGTCTCGTTGGAGAGTTTGTGTGCATCCATTGTTGTGATTGTCGTTTCGTTTCGGGCGTGTCAAATTGAACCCATGTCTCATCACCTGTCACAATGGATTTCAAAAAATCTTCTCCATCAGTATTGTAACGGTCAAGAAAATCCAAAGCTGCACCCATTCGGCGAGTTTTGTGGTTGTCAGTCAACATCCTTGGGACCCAGCGAGCGCAAACTTTTCTGTAGTGCAACCGTTCAGTAACGATAGAGTACAGGGCAGATCTTGAAACACCTGGAAATTTCATCGATAATTCACTTATGGTGAACCTTCGAGTTTCCCTCACCGCTTTGTCAACGCGCTGAACAATGTCGTCTGTGGCGACAGACTTGCGTCCTTGACCGCCTTCGTCATGAATATCAGTTCGGCCATCTTTAAATTTTCGGCACCATTCACGAACAACGCCATCACTCATAAAGGTGTCTCCATACACTCGACTCATTCTTCGATGAATTTCCGCTGCACTGTTCCCTTCTGCCTGCAAGAAACGGATAACAGCTCGCAATTCACAGTTGGCGAGAGAATCAATAGCGACAGCCATGTTTATGTGACTGCAACTCAACTGGAAATGACCTGTTGGAATCGGCATTACAGAGCGTTTGTGCGGGGAAGATGCGCAGTCGCCTACTGCGCACACCAATCACCTGCTGCATTCCTGGCCATCATACTGTGCAATCGGAGGTTGAAAAAAAAACAACCCTCGTACATATTTTAATACATATTTTCAAATTTAGAAAAATGGTTCGACTATCAAGGATCTTGGCCACCCCTGGTTTATACATTGACAAGTCTATAAATTATAAATTTTCAATATTCCTCTCAACAGAAATATACAAAAAATATTTTCTTGTTTATTTTCTTTTTAAAGAAAAGATATGCCAGAACATTAAACTGTAACTAAAAATCAACAACATTGTATTCATTTGACATCTTTTCAAAACATTAAGAAACACATCTTAAAAAATTTTATGCAGTTATTTCTTGGAAAATTTAAAATATTTATTGCTTAGATCTTTAATTACAATTAAGAAGTTTGATAATATATTATAATTAAATAAGAAATTTTTCCTAATTTACCCAGTTGAAAAACTTGTGATCCTTCTTTAAGTTAAACTTTATATCGAAAAGCTTTCCTATCAATTTTTTCATATAGAAAATTTATTTCACTTCATTTGAAATATATGATGGAAAACATAATCAAAATTAGTACTTATGAGGTTTATAAGCAAAGCAAGATTGAAATCAGCAGAAATATAGTAATATTTACCAGGATCAGGATCTTCAAGCTTCTCTTTTAAACGAGGGAAAGCAGGACGTAAAGCTTCAGGAAACTTCAAAAATATCTTATACATAAGCAAAATAGCCTTTTTTCTTAAATAGGGTTTTGTAGAGGAAAGCTGTTATAAAATAAAGCTATAAGCCAAATGATATAACAATCATACAAAACATTATTCAAGATACAGATGAATTCCTCATTAATAGATGATAAAAAAATTTAAATTTTAATATTCAAGATTCTGAAAAATAGATTTGGATAACAGATCCAACTTTAAACTGGTTTCTTTCCCATAAGAACAAGTAAGTTATTGTTTTTTAATTTTTTAAAATTTATTGCACTTTTAACCTCTTTTTACAAAGAATTTTTTCATATTTTTGCCCTCATGCTTGAGAGCAAATGAGCAATGACAAAACCTCCAATATGAAAACCATTTGTGTAAAAAGATTAAAGAATGTTCAAAATTTAATTTAGAAAAAGGCATATTTATTTCATTTTGTTCAAAAAATTAATACAGTGATCAAAATACACCTTTAATAATTTTCTTCCTGAACAAATAAATTAAGTGATACAGTATAACCTCATAAATTCCAACTGCTCGGGGAAATTGAAAAATCTAGATTTTTGATACACTACTTTTAAATCAATAGAGATTTTAAATCAATAGAGATTTTAAAGTTATAGGCCTACATTATTATAAAAACATATGTAAGATTCCATAAATCAATGTGGTTTTTCATTCATTATTTCTGCAGTAATTCTTTGAATTTCGAAGAAGTTTTTATAAGTTGGATATTACGGCACGTGAATATTGAGATGAGCAATTGAGTCATAGTTTTTCGTGCTTTAAATAGGGGAAAATTAAATCAGAAATTAGGGTAGTCTTATGGTTTGAATTTCTAAAAGTTATTTCATTTTTTCTACATTGTTTTTAAAATCTTGACATTTTTAATAGAATATTACAACATGTGAAATTAAAATCACACACTTAAATAACCACTTTTTGACTAGCTCAATTACCTCTTCATGTCTTGTTTTTATTACACTGGTGTGCAAAACTTAAGCAACAAGTGCGTTTTTTGTCATAACTCTACAAGAAATCATCCGATTGACATGAAATTTGAATATGATGTACATTATTTTGTACTTAAACGATGGTAAAAGAATAATGGCGCAGAAATGAATATAAAGCTTAAAGTAGGGTATGGAACAAAAAAAGGCTTTATTTGACATATAGTGGCGTTACACATGATTGCCTGAAGAAGCGTAAGTACAACTGGCAGATGTTCCCTAGTATGGGATATGCCCTCCCCTTACTGTAATTGTTGCTTGGCATCGTCTCTCCATGCTAAGCACCAGATTATCCAGGAGTTCTTGGGGTAAACGTCTCCATTCCTCCTTTAACGCATCTTTCAGCTGATGGGTGTTACCAGGAGGATACTGTCGTGTCGCAAGACGTCTCCCTAATGCATCCCACACATGCTCTATGGGATTTAGATCTGGAGAGTAAGCTGGCCAATCCATTCGTGTGATATCTTCACTTTCCAGTAGCTCTTGAACATTAGCAGTACGGTGTGGCCGGGCATTGTCATCCATAAAAATGAAGTCTGGTCCAATGGCCCCTCGGAACAGACGCACATGGGGTAGGATTACCTCATTGCAGTAGCGGTCTCCAGTTACAGAACCTCGGTCGAAGATCTGAAGCTCAGTCCGCCCGTTCAACATAATGCCACCCCAGACGACAACTCCAGGACCACCGTAACGATCTCTTTCCGCGATGTTATTGGGATGAAATCGAGCTCCAACCTCTCTCCAGATCAACTGACGTTGAGAATCGCTTGTAGCACTAAAACGACTCTCATCTGTGAAGAGGACGCGACTCCATTGATGAGGTGTCCAGGTTTCGTGTTCTCTGCACCACTCTAAACGGTGCCGCCGATGGCTAACTTTTAAAGGTATGCAGCGTTCAGGACGTCTAGCAAATAAGCCACCTTTGTGGAGGCGTCTGGCCACTGTAAATCTTGATACTTGTCGTCCTGTGGCTGTGCACAGTTGCTGAGATATGGCGCTCGCTGACTGAAAACGGTTTCTTTTCGCCTGGAGGACAATGTAACGGTCATCTCTTGGTGTTGTTTTCCTTGGACGGCCACCACCAACCTTCCGAACAGCTGTACCAGTAGTTTTAAAGGCATTCCAAGCACGAGAAACAACACTTTTGTTGATCCCGAACTCTTCGGCGACACTGGTCACACTACGCCCCTCCTCAAGCTTCCCAATCATTCTTCCTCGAGTAAAGTCGTCTAAATGATTTCTTGAAGACATGTTTCACAAAACAAATCACTTGCACTTGCAGCGAATGTCTTTAACTACGGTGCTCTTCATCCTTTTATCACAGCTTTGACCTGCGCGCGCCGACCCACAAGGTTTACGTACACTTACATCACCTACGACGTTTTATTTCTAAAATTTGCATACAAATAATCTTTCTACTGAATTATGTGCATATTATACTGCAATTTCATGGCTATCTTATACTTTGTTGGGGAGCTGTGGCCGAAAAACCACTTGTTGCTTAGGTTTTGCACACCAGTGTAGTATAATAGCATTAGGACACATTCTATTCATAACGATATCGTTGTAAATAACCCTCTTGGGATTTTTTTTTTTGTTTTTTAACAGCAATAGCTACAGGTTTCTATGTAGTTTTTAAATTCGATTTTTTTTTTCTTTTATAAATCAAAATTATTGCGATTCACTAATTTCTGCATCTTGATTATAAATTAAAATTCATTCAGCTAATTTTTTTCCTGTTAAGAATTAAAAAAGATTATCCAGATATTGGACATTTTCATATTTCAGAAGTCTGGATTTTCAAGGTCACACTGTACTGTAAGACAAAAGGTATAATATGCTGCAACATGAAAGAAAATTCTGGTTCATGAAAAAATATGATTCATATTTTAATGTTCGTCATCATAAATATGGCTTTGAGCTTGAGAGTTTTCAGATTTTTAAAAAAATTCATCATCATCTGGTATTCTCAAATTTTTAATATAATTTTTCATGATTTATTTTTATTTATCATATAAATACAGAAAAACAATTAAGTAATTATTAACAGTTAAAATAACATATTACTGAACTTTACATCCATGAAATATAAAAAGTGCCATCCAACTAAAAGAACTCAATAAAAGATAAATTTAAAATATTAATATTTATAAATTATGTATGGATCATTTTTAAGCTATACAAAATACTGTAAGAAATACTTACATGGAAATAGTTTCCCAGCTAAGTAAAATTATAAAGTAAAATATCGGGAGAATTTAAAAATAAATTCCTGAATGCTTATAAAAAAAAATAACATTTACTTCAGTAAAAAAATAACAAAATTTCATAAACAAAAATAATAGTTAATAAAAAAAATTCAGCAGTGTTTAACTTCAATTACAATTTTTACATAAAACTTTAAAAGAAAAATTATAATTAAGAGAAAATATAGAAAATTAATGTACAATAAATATTCAGCAAAAAATATTATCAACTTACCAATGTCATAACATCATTGGCAAGATCACGAGCAAGATCAGGAGTAACAAAACAAGAAAAGCCACTCATCGCTGTGCCAGCATCATACATGTTTTGACTATTTAAATCCTAGAAATAAAATTTAAAATTATCATCTCTGATATAAAAATCTGTCAAATTAGTAATCTAAAATTAATTTAATCCATCATGTTTGTTGAGTGCTAGATCTTAAACATTTTTTACAGTAAAATTATTGCTTAATATGTGAGCAAGTTTAGTACTTGGCTTGGAGGTGTAGACTTTAGTCCTTTAGCTGATGGTAAAAGAATATTTCATTTGCAGAATTTAATTATAATATAACCTTACTCTACAAAAACTGAGAAGGAATTGAAATTATTTGGATTTTGTCAAAATATACTTTTTCTTTTTAAGGAGATCAGGCTGTTCAAAGAGTTTGGTAATGTAAATTACTATGCAGAAAAGGTACTAATATTACGAAGTAAAGAGTACTTCTCTCAAAGTAAAGAGTAAAAAAAAATTATCATCCAGAAATTATTTTAAGAAAAGATATGATCATCCATAAATATTCTAGGAAAGAAATATTAGTCTCAATGAAGAACCTGATGCAAGAATTCAGCATTATTAACAAGTCAGAATGAGCTATCGCAAATTAAAAAATTTGTCTCAAATCTTATAAGTGTTCATAAATTCCAGCACAGTATAAAAAGAAATAAGAACACACATATGCAAAGATGACATAACTTTGTCGAACCAACTTGTAAAAGAATTGTAAGCAAATTGTTTTCATGAACAATAAATTATCCATCATAAAATAAGAGCATGATCGTTGAAATCAATTAATACTGGTCCAAGAATTGATGCACCAGCAGATAAATTGTTCCCACACATTTTGCTGCTGTTAAGCATGCAGTAGTAGGTAAAAGAATTACACTAAAAGGTTTAGGTGTAGAGTATATTTATTACACTATTTTTGAAATATACATAGGTGAAGAGTATATTTATTACACTATTATTGAAGTATATATTAAACTGTTAATAAGTAGAGTGTAGAATGTAGGGTTCTTACACTATAATTAAGTTATATATTTATTATACTAGGGTGTAATTATGGCATTCTTGGTTAGTTGGATTAAATAGTTAAAATTTTATTGCTAATTTTAAAGAAATTCCATTTAAATTTAATAAAGACTTAATTAAAAAAAAAACGAATTAAGTTTAATTTTTTTTATATCTACAGATTTTTACTCATACGAATTTAACTCTCTTTCAAGTAAACTGGAAAGAAAATTTCTTTTTACAAATGAGAATTGCAAAATTTAAAAAGAAAATTTCAAAATTTATAAAAATGATTTATAAAAAATGAGTGTGCCTTAGAAATGTTACAGCTATTAAAAATATTGTTTAATGTAAACTCAATAATTTGATTGACTGAATTGCAAGTATATTTGAAGTAATTTTGAAATTATAAATGAGATATTTAAAGGCATACATAATATTTAAAGACATACAATTACTTGAATTTACACACTTTTCAAAATTAATTATTTAATTACTCTTATTCAATTCAAAAAGTCATGACATATGATCAACAAAAATGTAAGGAAAGGTTTAAAAATAATTTATGAAAAAGATAATGAAATGAATTTCTCCATTTCATATAATCATATGAGTTACGCATTTATTAATTGGAAATATTCAAGTAGAATGCTTTATTTACAGGATTGCCATTTACTATGCTTTTTGTTAACTATTTTATACAGTGGCAAATAAGCAAAAACTGAAGCTTTCAAAAGTTTTGGTTACTTTGCCAAGATTTTGAAAGCCTCACCCCAAAAGAACTTAAACAAAGTGGCTTTTTATATGAACTTTTGAATTATTCACACAAAGTGATGTGAAAAATAGCTTTAAATCTAATTTAATAAACAAAGAATCATTCATACATTTTAAAACATGAATTTTGCTAACACCAGAAGAAATTTTTCACAAAATGAAGAAAGTTGCCCTCTCAGCATTTAAATAGAAAGAAATTACTGGTAAAAGTTAAATTTAAATAGATAATTTGTGAGCAATTTTATTTATTTGCAATTATTCTTGATACATCATGTTTTCATATTGCCTCCAAACAAATGTGGTATAATGAAGAGTTACTATACTAAAACCTGTTAAAAACAGTAGTTTTTTCAAACTTTACCTTTCTTATCATATTTGTGGTTAACATAAGAACTTCAGTTTCTTCATGAAAACTTTGTGAAGCTGCTAAATAACCAATTCTCTGAAAAATAAATGTATAAATATGATTCAGTTTTCTATTAAAAGTTAAAATGTACAAAATGAAAAACTATTTGTAAGCTCATTATGTATATATAATTGTGTAAAAAATAATTTTCTTGATACAAATTTTACTACATGATTAATGAACTGGCTAAAGACCTTGATATTTTTGACATGTCTATTGACATTTAAAAAAAAAAAATTATAAATGTTTTATCATTACAACAATTTTCTTTTCTTCTAATTGTACACTACTATAATTATAATTTTTATTTACAGTATATTTCTACATTAAAAAATCAAATCATAAAATTGTGATTTAAATTGCTTTTTTTAATAATTTGATTTATATAGCAGACACCATACTTAGAATGATAACAATAAATCTAAGACAAATTTAATGTCTGCAATTAACTAAATTATAAGTATGTTAACTTGTTATAATTAAACATATTTATGGCTAGACTAATTAATCAAATTGCAAATATATATTACTGATTTGCAAAGTACTTCAACCTCTAAACTAGTTAATACAATAAAATAACATTTTATTAAAGAAAATTTTCAAAAATGAAAATAATCTCTACTGAAATGTTTTTTATTCTCTCAAGAAAAAATAAACAGTCAAAAATAAACTTAATATTAAAGTAAAATATCGGAACTTTTTTAAGAAAAAAATCTAATAATACAAATTCAAACATAATGAAATAATATACAACAAAATACTTACCTTAAACGTAAATTTAGTAGAGCTCATAACTTCGATAACATTAAAAGCTGCCCAGCTGATATCATATCCAAGCATTTGAAGCTAAAATAATACAATCAAAATTCATTACGGAGTATGAAATTTTCAAGTAAAAATATACTCTTTCTACAGTAATTGCTTTTATTTTATCAATACTCATTGGCCTCTCTGTACACAAAAAAAATCACTTTTTAACTAACTTTTTAAAGCATTTATAAACATATCTGTTTAATAAAGTAAAATAAATTTAAAGGGTGAAAGAGAGTGAGTGAATGAATGGTAGCAGAAAAGAGAGAAAAGGCTTTGCGTTCTTAGAATGATCAAGAAGACGATTAAAAATTGATTTAGCATGAGAGTGGGTAGCTTTGTTTTCTTTTTCAGAAAAACAAAGATGGCTTCTTTCATTCCCAGTTAGTGACATAATAAAGACATGAAGAGAGAAAAAATGGATGAATGCGAATAAAGTAAAGAAATGAGCTTAGCTTCTAAGAGTCATTCAAAGCGATGAGAAATAACTAGTTAAGCATGAGGATGCATAGTTTTGTTCTCGTTTTAAGGAAAGCGAAGATAGCTTGCTTTGTTTCTGGTTAGTGATAGAAACGAAGCAAATCAGGAAACTGATGCTCTCAATGATAAGTTTCAAGATATTTTTGATAATGATTATGAATTTTCTTTTTATAGTTATGAAGATTCTGATTAAATCTTTTTTTAAATTTGCAATAAACACATCACATTAAGTCTCACTTCAGACCATGGATCTAACCTTTACCAGATGCATTTACTGGGTGGATCATCATTTTAGCTGCTCATAGATGCAAACCAGAATAGCACTTCCCTTCAATCGCTCTTATCCCACCCACCCTAAGCCTACTCTTTCTCTTCATAAAAAAAATAATAGACCTTTACTAGTAATCAGTATTTTATGGTATCCACAATAAAATGATATGCGCAGCACAGTATCAAAAGTTTGCTAGGCAAATTTTTTGTTCTATTCAAATTACACGTACAATAAAAACATAAGTATTTTCTGACTTAATCTGCAGATTTAGTTAATTCTACAGATTTAAATGCAAGATCCTTTTGAAAAATGCATATAATTTATGTTTTTTAAGTTTAAATTTTAAAATCTATATTATCATAATTTTTTTTTATCATTTGCATCTTTGGAAAATCTCCACAAACATGTTTAAAAAGAAAAAATCTTAAAATGGACCAGACTTACGTATTTTGTTCTATTAAGGAAAATAAAATAAAACTTACATATGTTAATTTTGCCACAGCATTAGCTTTTACAGATATATTTTCTTGTCTTAATTCTTCTTTTATTTCTTCGATACACTGGGCAATGTATTTAGTCTGTAATTTAAGACAAAATAGTTACAAGATATCAATACAAGTTACATTACAAATAATTAATTCAGTTAATTCATAATACAAGTTACAAGATTACTTTACATGCAAGTAAAAGGCATAACTAAGAAACAAGGGAACCAACAGATGAAGGAACAACTAATAAAGGAAACAAGTCAATTTATTACTAGCCCTTATGTATTCAATAAAAGCGTTTTTAGCTTCCAACTGCAAATTTTGTAAAAAGTGGCATAAATTTGAAATTGTTTTTCTAGGCTATGGCACCAATCTAAATAAAAGTGAAGGCCTCATGAATTTCTCTAAGCAATCTCTTCGCATTACAAAAATTAGTAAAGCTAATAGTTTGTATTTCTCAATTCAAAAATAGCTTACAGCTTTTAACCCTTTCGTACCGGATGGGACATGTGCTGTCCCAGTCTGGTTAATTTTTGATATTACAGCTGGGACAACAGATGTCCCAGTAACTGAAAAATAACTAGGACAGAAAATAACGCCCACTTTCGTCTTCAAACTGATTTTAAGGCCGTCTCATCGTTCTGAGTCCATAAATTTCTCACATCAATCGTTCCAGATCTAATCAAGCAAGCGACAACTTGCTCCGGACAGCAAATAAATATTTTCAAGTGGTAGTTTATTAACTGTGATTTTTGTGTTAATAAATTCAATTTATTAGGTTTTCAACCACCATTATTTCTAAACAATTTGAAGGCTCCTTCCTCTGATAAAGGGTCGAAATGAGTCAAAAGAGAATTTACCCTGAAAACAAGTTGAGACAGCTCGCTTATATTAGTGAGCCTTCTGAAACTAAAAACACTGCAGAGGAGCCTGGCAATGAAGTCGTTTCACCCAATCATAATGATTTGTTTAACAATGAAGTTGAGCTCCTGAACTAGAATCCACCAGCATTTTCAGGGTCCTATCCAACTAACTTGGCACCACGAATGCCACTAGTTAGTTACATCAAGGGCCAAACAAGTTTCTCAATAGGAAACGAAGCCACCGAAGTGCATTCTTACTTCAAGATCTTTCCCAAAAACTTATTCATTTACATTGCCCAATGTATGAACGAAAGTACAGAATGGAAAGAAAGAACACTTGGAAATGCGAGCAAGGAAGTCAATAAACAAAGGCCCTCTTCCTCCAAAACTATATCATCATCATCAACAACTAGACTTTCCAATGTTGGAAACCATTTCCCAATTGAAGGAAAAACGTGCAGAAGATGCGCATGGTGCGTAAAAATGAATAAAGAGGCACGCTCGAAAATAGTGTGCACCTCTTGCAACGTAGTAGCACTGTGCAAGAGCTGTTTCCAGCCCTACCCTCAAGAAACCCAGACTTTAGATAATGTTGTTCCTCCACGACTTTCAAATTTTTCAATTTTTTACCTTACTTATTTTATAACTGTTAATTTCGAAAAGTGTTTGTAAATAAATATGTTAATAAATAAAACGTTACCTAAAATAATCATCAAAATGTTAAGTAAAATGTCAATAAAAATGAGTTATTAACTCTAGAATTCCTGCCGGGACACACCCTGTCCCGAGATTTAGATGCTTTGGGCTTACGGCGGTACATATGCTGTCCCATCAATGAAGCTTCTGAAATAATTGTTATTGATGGTGTGCTGTTATGGAGACGTTTATGTGTCTCCAAGACCTTTAACCTTTTAGGCATAAAAGATATTTAATCTAATAATCGCTTGGGGGAGAAATAACTGATCCCGTCAATGAGGCGTACTCAGTCTGATTTTTCGCCGTATTGAAAGGGTTAAAGGCCTTCCTCCTGAGAAAAGAGATTTTTAAATAATATTTTATGATAGGATAGTGAAATTAAAACTGTAACATTTAGCCTTGGATTTTTTTACTAAAATTTGAAATTCATAAATATATCATTGAGTATTCTAAATTATTCTGTGATTATTTATTTTTTAGTTTCTCACATGCCACTGCAATGTTGTTGAAAAAACTTAACGCAATTATTTTCTTACCTATTTGAAAATCTTCCCTTAAGTTTGTCTAAATCATAGTTTTGACAAAAAATAGACGGGTAATAATAACATTTTCTAATGCGATAAAACCTATCAAGATAACCAAAAGTTCAAAACGTTTATACTTATTATTACTAACTACTATCAGCCACATTAGTATAAGCACATGAAACAGATCATTTGGAGTAAAAGATATTAAAATAATTTGAACTAAACACATCAGAGAAAAAAATATCAGTTTTAATAAATAACTAATCTGCCCTTTAATAAATTACTAATTATTTACTTCGTATTAATCTAATGCTAAGGAGTAAAACGTAGGGGATATTTCAATACTGTTACCTGTTCCCACCATATAACATTACCAAGACACCAAAGGATTTTTATGTAAAAAAAAATATGTATAGTGGTTTGTCCACGGGTAGCTACAGATTATGCCCTTCGAGTTGGTACCCCTCTGTAATCATTTTGTTTAAATTGCAGTAGTCACCAAGGGGATATTTTTGCATTGCAATCAATCATGTCAACTACATTCATTAACGCACCAAATAGATTTTAAACTTATAAATTGTTTTTACAAAAATGTGTAGAAGTTTGCTCAGGGGTTGCTGCGAGTTATACCATTAGAGTTAGTCCCCTTCTGGGATTTTATTTTTTTCAAGTCTCTCGTGGGCCGCTGCCCAGAAGTTGCAGAGATACATGTACTAATGCAGAAATCTTTCCCATGCATAAATAAGTCACTAAGCTCCCTTCTGGTTGGCATAAAAATAAAATGAATAAATATTAAGGACTTTTTATCACTGTTACAAGAGTGACTGTAATAATGAAAAAAAAAAATATTCTTCATTAGTAAGCTAATGATAGGAACAATATTATTAACCTAGAAACTTTAGTGGACATCAGGACAATTTGATAAATATATTGAAATATGCAAATAAATCAGGGTAAGGTATTTTATCAATCAACAAATATATTCTGAATTGATAATAAAAATATGATACGCAATAACAGAAATGGAAAATGAGAATAATTCCAAATAACACTCAATAACTTTGACAACCTAGGTAAATGACAAATTACTATTGAGCTCGATTAATAACAAATAAGTCATAAACAATTCTACATTTTTATAATAATCAGCAACATTTTTGTAAAAAAAAAACACCAAAAGTTTTCATTTTGTTTACAATCAGTTCTTGGAATGTTTAATAACAATCAATCTTACTTCATTATCTTTATTATTTCGAATACCACGAACTAAATCTGTTAAATTTTTATCAAATATCCGCTCTAAATTTCCTTTGACTTTTCGTAAAGCCATGATTTTTTTTCTTCCTATTTACTATTTAAATCAAAATTAGTTCGCCACATCCAAACATTTCAACTATTTCAGAGCGATGAACCATCATCAAATACAAAACTAACAATCACTTCATTACAGTTCAGCTGATTTGCCGACAACTTGTCATATGAGTTGATTATTTATTTATATAGGGCAGAATTGAGCGCTAGGTGTGATGGAAGAGTAACATATCATTTGCAAGCGAGTATGCGGATCTGCGGAAAAAAATTTCAGCGCTGTTCTCATTGTATACAAGAAAGTCGCATACAAGAAAAAATCGTATCTTTAAAACTTTAATTTGACCAATTTTATTCAAATTTTGTATTTTGACACAAAAAATTACATTCTTTAAAATAATATAAAAATTTGAAAACCTTAGTGGTCAAATTTTTTTCGAACATCATTAAAACAAATAATACAAAATAATAAATTATTATTAAATTAATTAATTAAATTATTATTCTCGAGATACGACGAAATACGCAAAAAGTAAAATTAATGAACACGAATCCATAGGAGAAAAAAATTGTTTTTGTATCTGATTTCGTAACTTATCGTCTGCACTGATTAATTAACACATTTGAGGTCACCCCCTCAAAGAATTAAAAATGAGTCCTGGAACTTGAAAATTCAAACATAAGATCTAAAGTTATTGAGGTGATTTTTTTTTCTTTTTGGCGTACTGTGCATGTACAGTTGTAGTTTATTTACGTTGCACTGGAGCTGCGCAATGGGATATTAGCGACTGTTAGGGAAACATCCCTGAGAACGATCCGAAGACATGCCATCACAATTTTGATCCTCTGCTGAGGGAATGGCACCCCCGCTTCGGTAGCCCAACGACCTGCACGCGAAGCAACACCTCCTAGAAAGAACAGGCCTCAGCACGGGTTACCATGAATATCCCTTAGTAGTCCAAACGTAATGACATATTTTATATTTTTAACTACAGCGCAGCTTAGTACCCCTAACGTAATGACATCTTCCTTATTTTTCGTCTACTAAGCAGTTAACTACGTCACATCGGACAACTAAATTGATCCGTGCTGAGGCCTTTCTACTTCTAGGATGTGTTGCGCGAAGTCGAGCACTTAACGTAGAACAGTTTAAGGAGGACCAATACCGCACACCCTCGGTCCCTACCCAGACTGATCCAAGAGGTCACCCACCCACACACTGACCGCAGCGAGTGATGCTTAACTTCGGTGTTCTGCTGGGACCCACATCTTAACGATCAGTCCACTGCGGGACGTGCATGTACAGTGTGATTTAACAAACGGACCGTCCTGAATAGCTTTTTATCTAATGATTGTATCCTCACGATCTAGAGCTCAATCTTAATGGTCCGAGGAAGTGACCTCAAATATGCTAATTAATTAGTGCAGACGATATTTCAGGTTACGAAATCAGACTCAGAAGCGTACTTTCTCTGAATAAACATACCTTTTTTTCAACAGATTCAAATTTATGACCTCCAAAATATAGGAGGTAGCCGTAATCTGGGAAATATGGTCAGGAGAGCGTTCCAAAGTTTAAACCCCTTAAAGTTAATTTTACGTTTAGCGTATTTCGCCATATCTCTAGAACTTTCTAAGCGGATTGAAAAATTTTTGCACACAATTATAAAATTCGTTTATCCAAAAATAATTCCATGTGAAAAATAACTTTGAAGAGCATTAATTATTTTTTTATTATTTTATTTAATAATTGTCAAAAATTTGAATTGTAGGGTATACAATTTTTTGCATCATTTTAAAGAACATAATTTTATATGGTAAAATACAAAATTTGAGCAAAATCGGTGGTCGAATAATTTCTGAGAAACCGAATTTCAAATATCCGACATTTTTGAAATTCAATTTCACGGGAGCCTTGCTCAAATTTTGTATTCTGCAATATACCTTTCAAATCAAATTTTTCGACTATTACTAAATAAAATAGTAAAAAATAATAAGCATTTACTAAAATTTATTTTTTACATGAAATATCTTTGAATAAAGAATTTCATAATTGTGTTCAAAAATATTTCAATTCTCTTAAAACGTTCTTGAGATATGGTAAAAAAAGCAAAAAATAAAATTAACAGTAAGGGGTCCAAACTATGGAGAGCATATTTCCCAAATTGCGGCTACCCCTTATATTTTGGAGTTCGGAAATCTGAATCCTTGTTTTATATTAAAAAAAAAAAAATTTTCATTCAGAGAAAGTACATTTCTGTAACTGATTTTATGATTTAAAATATCGTTTGCACTAATTAACTAGCATATTTGAGATCAACCCCTCGACCCATTAAGATTAAGTCCTAGAACGTAAAGATCCGATATTTAGATCAAAAGTTATTTAGGGTGATCCACTTCTTTCCTTTTTTCTTTTTTTGGAGCATTGCGCATGCATGCATTGAACATAGATATAATTGTATATTTTTACATACACATATTGGACATGCGTTCATTGCACTTATGAACAGCGAGCAAAAAAAAAAAAAATGAATAATAATTTTTTAACCCTGAATAACTTTTAATCTAATGATCGGATCTTCACATTCTATGACTCAATCTTAGTGGTTCGAGAGGGTGATCTCAAATAGTCTAATAAATTAGTGCAAACGATACTTTCAGTTACAAAATCAGACACAAAACCGTACTTTCTCTAAATAAACAGACCTTTTTCTCAACGGATTCGGATTTTTTAAATATGGAGGGTAGCTGCAATCTGGGAAATATGAGTCCAAAGTTTGTACCTATTAATGTTAATTTAATTTTTTCCGTATTTTGCTATATCTCGGGAGCTTTTTAATCCAATTGAAAAACTTTTCCACCCAATAATAAAATTCGTTTGTCCAAAGATAATTCCATGCAAAAAAATAAATTTTAGTATATATTTATTATTTTATTTAATAATAATCAAAAAAGTAAGGTGTGGAATTTATTGCATCAATTTAAAATACAAAATTTCATGTGGCAAAATGTAATTCGAGTGAAATCGGTCGAATAGCTCCTGAGAAATCGAACTTCAAATATACAACATTTTTAAAATTCGATTTATCAGGAACTATTCAACCGATTTCACTCAAATTTCGTATTTTGCTATGTAAAATTACATTAATATGATGCAACAAATCACAACCTTGCACTTCAGTTTTTTCCATCGATTATTATTAAATAAAATAATAAAAAAATAATGAATATTTACAAAAATTTGTTTTGTGCATGGAATTATCTTCAGACAAACGAATTTCAAAATTGTGTGCGAAAATATTTCCATTCCCTTAAAAAGTTCTCGACATGTAGCAAAATACGAAAAAAATCAAATTAACTTTAAGGGGGTTCAAAATTTGGACCCCTCTCCTGTCCAAACTATTAGGATCATATTTCTCAGATTGCGAGTACCTCTTATATTTTTGGGGTCAGAAATCTGAATCCGTTGAAAAAAAGTTATGTTTACACAAAGGAAGTACGTTTTTGCGTCTGATTTAGTAACTTAATCTCGTCTGCGATATTTAATTAGAATATTCGAGGTCACCCCCTCCAACCATTAAAATTGAGTCCCAGAACGTAAAGATCCGATCATTTGATTATAAGTTATTCTGGGTGGTCAGTTTTCTATTTAAAAATTTTTTTTCCGCTCACTGAAAACACACACTTTTTTTCTTCTTTTCTTTGCACAAAAAAAAAAAAAATAAATAAAAACTGACCACTCTGAATAACTTTTGACCTAATGATCGCGTCTACACGTTCTAGGACATAATCTTAATGGTTAAAGCAGAGGTCGTCAAAGTGGTCTATATAGACCCTCAAGGGTCGATTTAACAAAAGCGGAGGTCGATCTGAGCCAGGGGGTCGAAGAAAAAACAGTTCTTAATACGCAAATCACACATGCCTAATTAAGTATGTAAAATTTGTGATTTTTTTTATAATTGACTTAATATCAGTTTCTTTATAAAACATAAACTAATAAACGTATTTATTTGGGTGAAACAAGTATTTACGTACATGGCACGAACTCAGCACAGTTTATAAGTCATATGCATGTGTGCGCTTGTACAAATGTCACGTGTGACGAGCATTGACGTCACAAACGCAAATATCATACTGTGACAAGCGTTCCTCTTTCCCCCACTACAGCGCCTCTGGCGGTGAACTAAGACAGTCTGCCAGGAACCGCCGTTAAGTACGGACGTTTAATTCGAGCCCAAAACCCCCTCTTCAAAATTCTTGTATTTTTTTTTTATCCTTGTTTTTATTTTGATGTGTTTTGTATATTTAGAGTTAGATATTTTCTAGTCTTTCATTATTTATGTGAATTGGTAGAAATACAAATAAACCAAGACTACAATACGCAGTTTCAGCTATCTTTGCAAACTATGAACAGTGTTGAATATTTGCAGTGTCATTATAAAAACTTTTATAGTTTTGGATAATTAGTTATTGTTTCGATAAAACCATTCGTTTAGTTTAGATATCAATTTTAATTATCAATGCATGTAAAAAAAGAAGGTAAGTATTAATAATATGGATTAGTACAGCCCGCGACAAAACTATACCACACTTTGTATTTTTTTACTAAAATTACAAAATTGACTAATTTTGAAGAAAATTAAAATTGACCAATTTTGAACCTAATACAGCGAACCTTGCAAAAAAAACACCAGGCACACCCATCTCATTGATTAAGAAGCAATAAATCTGTAGTTTCTTTACTTATTACTTCTAACTATTCATAATTACTTATTAGTATTTAATAAATATTATGGTATTTAAATTTCATCATTAATATATTTTTCATAAAACTATTGTTACACAATGCACTATTACTTTAATAAATGTTTAAAATCATAAAATAAATGCACAAACACAGTATCTAATAGAGTTTTATTTTAATTATCAGAAAATTACTTTTATGGGGGTCGATGGAGATTTCGAAAAATTATATAGGGGTCGATAATCAAAAAAGTTTGGCGACCCCAGGGTTAAAGGGATAGACCTCAAATATGCTAATTAATTAGTGGAGGCGATATTTTAAATTATAAAATAAGGCACAAAAACGTCAAAGAGGATTATTTTATTGCTGGAGAGGTTTTAAGGTCATTTTACAATCAATATTTAAATCGGAATGCTCATATGTTAT